CCTTCGTTGCCCGGGCGGTGTGTTTGGGATCATTGTCATGCTGAAAGACCCAGCCACGTTTCATCTTCAATGCCCTTGCTGATGGAAGGAGGGTTTCACTCAAAATCTCACGATACATGGCCCCATTCATTCTTTCCTTTACACGGATCAGTCGTCCTGGTCCCTTTGCAGAAAAACAGCCCCAAAGCATGATGTTTCCAACCCCATGCTTCACAGTAGGTATGGTGTTCTTTGGATGCAACTCAGCATTCTTTGTCCTCCAAACATGACGAGTTGAGTTTTTACCAAAAAGTTATATTTTGGTTTCATCTGACCATATGACATTCTCCCAATCCTCTTCTGGATCATCCAAATGCACTTCAGACGGGCCTGGACATGTACTGGCTTAAGCAGGGGGACACGTCTCGCACTGCAGGATTTGAGTCCCTGGCGGCGTAGTGTGTTACTGATGGTTGGCTTTGTTACTTTGGTCCCAGCTCTCTGCAGGTCATTCACTAGGTCCCCCCGTGTGGTTCTGGGATTTTTGCTCACCGTTCTTGTGATCATTTTGACCCCACGGGGTGAGATCTTGCGTGGAGCCCCAGATCGAGGGAGATTATCAGTGGTCTTGTATGTCTTCCATTTCCTAATAATTGCTCCCACAGTTGATTTCTTCAAACCAAGCTGCTTACCTATTGCAGATTCAGTCTTCCCAGCCTGGTGCAGGTCTACAATTTTGTTTCTGGTGTCCTTTGACAGCTTTTTGGTCTTGGCCATTGTGAAGTTTGGAGTGTGACTGTTTGAGGTTGTGGACAGGTGTATTTTATACTGATAACAAGTTCAAACAGGTGCCATTAATACAGGTAACGAGTGGAGGACAGAGGAGCCTCTGAAAGAAGAAGTTACAGGTCTGTGAGAGCCAGAAATCTTGCTTGTTTGTAGGTGACCAAATACTTATTTTCCACCATAATTTGCAAATAAATTCATAAAAAATCCTACAATGGGATTTTCTGGATTTTTTTTCCTCAATTTGTCTGTCATAGTTGACGTGTACCTATGATGAAAATTACAGGCCTCTCTCATCTTTTTAAGTGGGAGAACTTGCACAATTGGTGGCTGACTCAATACTTTTTTTCCCCACTGTATTTCCAATCATAACAATTGTCGTCTTTTTGTTAAACTACTTTATTACTTAGCTATTTGTGTATATTTTTGATAATGTGCATTGCACTGTTGAGGAGAGCTTGCAAGTAAGCATTTCACTGTACCATTTACACCCTGTATCCTGTGGAGGTGACGAATAAATAATGATTAGAAGATTCTCCTGAGTGGCGCAGTGGTCTAAGGCACTGCATCGCAGTGCTAACTGCGCCTCTAGAGATCCTGGTTCAAATCCAGGCTCTGTCGCAGCCGGCCGCGACCGGGAAACTCATGGGCTGCGCACAATTATTTGATAGGCCTGCTATTTCACAAGACTCAAATATATGCCGTTGAAATGTATACAAGGTTTGTAATCCGTCTTCCTGTGTTACAAAGTAACTATGGCTATTCATCCCATTGATTCTATTTCTATGATTTCACACTGCACTTTTTCCGAGTGACAAACGTTATATAGTGTACCAAGAGTTATTCCTTCATTTACGGCATGTATACAGTACATATCATATATACAATACAGTCGTTGGCTTACGGCCATACCAGTCGCAATACGCCCAGTCTCGGAAGCTAAACTGGGTCGGGCCTGTTTAGTACTTGGTTGGTACACTGCCTGGGAATACCAGGTGCTGTAAATGTAGTTTTTGAAAATGTAGTTGTCTTTTTAAAACATAAAAACATTCATTAAAAATATATTATACTGTCAAAATTGCAAATACATTCATCAAAAGAACACGACTGCCTGCAAAAAGATTAACACAACTATACTTACCTCTTGAGCGCAAGCAGACAAAACAAAACATTAGTCGGTCTTTTAAAAATCCCATGTTCTTTGCAGTCACTAAATCCCGATGATCAAAACTGGATGTACAAAGGTGCAGAATTATGGGTAATTACTCTCCTTTTATCATTAGAAACACAATCCACAATAGAAATAAGGAAAGCTGAATACAATGGAGGAACACAATTGATATGAACGTATAGGCCTCAATCCACAGCAAAGCAAAGCTCTATAATGGAAGGTCACATGTTGGAGATGATGACTTAGGAGTAAGCCAAAGTTACTTAGAAGTAACCCAACTTAATTCTCTGCATCTCTGAATGTCCGCAATATTAAATTAGACAGTCCCTGTTTCCTAGATCTTTCCCTATATTGTACATGGTATGACACTGATGGGGTGATTTTAGAGTTTTGTGCAGTACTATTTACAGATTGCTGAAAAGTGATTTATTCTCGGGATGGAACATTTGTAAAATACCGGGAAAATATTCCATCCCAGTCTGGTGGTTAAAAGGTGTTTAGCTGAAACCTTTTATATAAAGTTTATGAAGGTCTTCCCTAGTGTAGTTCCTAGTTTTGATAATTGCCATGGTAACACATCAGCATTTTCTTATCTCATCTGGTCTCGTCTCTTATTGCCTCACGGAAGGCGGCTTCCTGGGACTCATGGGAGGTAAGCACTTCCTATATTTACTTCCTGTGTTTTTCCTCCAGCCCTCCTGATTGCGCTCCATTTCATCTGTTTGGGAAAAGTATTTTATTTGCCAAGAAAAACACTGGAGAACAGAATGCCTTTGACCATTTATTATACTGAAGGTTGGTTGGATGGTACAATAATGTACAATGCATGGTTTTGATCTGAAACCACACAAAGGAATACATGGTAAATAACGAAATCAAGGGAATGTATATCAAAACGAATCAAATCAAAACAATTAGCACCAACATGTCAAACTGTAAAGCTCATGTCAAAGAAATATATAACAAAGCTATGTCCTGAAATTAGAAAACACTGTTTAATTCAAAGGAAAAGGGGGATAAAACTTACTCATGAAGTCATCCAGAATAACACTTTGTATGATTTAATATAAAAACAAATATGGATAGGAGTGGGAATAAAAAGGTGCTTGTGCATTGAGCACACCAAAGACAGCATTAATGATAAGTAATATAGCCTATTTCACACCATAGCTTGCTGAATTTGCAAGATAACATCTTTCATTTTTTCCGAGGCAAGCCGAAGTTCAAAGGCGAAGTCTACACATTTACATTACATTTTAGTCATTTAGCAGACGCTCTTATCCAGAGCGACTTACATTACACTTTTTTTTTTTTTTTTTTTTCATACTGACCCCCCGTGGGAATCGAACCCACAACCCTGTGCTCTACATCCCTGCCGGCCATTCCCTCCCCTACCCTGGACGACGCTGGGCCAATTGTGCACGGCCCCATGGGTCTCCCGGTCATGGCCGGCTACGACAGAGCCTGGATTCGAACCAGGATCTCTAGTGGCACAGCTAGCACTGCGATGCAGTGCCTTAGACCACTGCGCCACTCGGGAGACTACACCCCTTCGTCGGTCATTGGTCAAGAGTAGGGATTGTTCAATTAAGTGTTTGTTGTCATTCAATGATAGACGACTGGTTTTCACACACATTTTCTGCACGAAACATCTTAATGTAAAATTGCCTGACTAAGATCTCCTTGGCAAAAACGTGAAAATTAACGACAGATTTCTTGAGTTATCCTAGACTAATTCTGACTACTTTGAGGAAGTGTTTACTGGCTACGGAGTCCCAAGATGGACAAACACTACTATTGCCGTTTTTTCTCATTTTTCAAGCTTAGGTCTTTTTAAGGGAGTATGCGAGTTCACTCGTTCGGTTCTCCTAGCTAAGTTTGGCTAGCCGCCAACTGAACCGTAGCATGCGGAAGCCTTTAGCGGAAGGTGGACGAGCAATTTCCACCGTTGTAGTACGGATGAAGCCTGAGCTGGAATAATAATTTATGGCTTGAGTGATCAAAGGGGGAGAGCAGGCAAAGCTGGTCTCTGGAGAAAGTACCAGACGGGCAGCACGGTGTCATCAAGGTGTCTCGCCGTTTGTGTGGCTTCTCTAGTTCATGGACTTCACTACTACCACCAAGATGACACACCCACTTGGGTGAAGCTATGGCAGTCACGTGGCGCCAGAAAGCACACCACATTTCAATGATAATTCAAGAGTAGCCTCGTAACTTTGTCCTCCTTACGATCCTCATCACTGCACACCTCAGCCGTCTTGCTTTCGCGCTTCTCTCAATCCTCAACATCCGGACACACGGCTGGCATTCAAATCAAAACAATTACCAGCTAGCCAGCTGACATTAGCTAGCTTGCCAAGCAAACAAATTACTTGCCAGCTTCAGTCTTGAAACTCTGTGGTGGATTCTAATGATATTAATTAGCTATATTAATTGTTAAAACAAAGTTTGCAGGGAAAAATGCCATAAATGTATTAATTATACAAATATTTACAACATGTACAGTAGCCCTCTGCCTAGGCGACCTCACTGCACCATGGAAACCACGGAATGTGAAGCTAACTGAAGCTGGCTAGCTTTAGAAAACCCTGAGTAGGTCTAGCTTGGGATATAAAGATTAGATTAAAATAGCTATTTCACTACAAAGGAAAGTCTCTGAAAAGAGTCTCGAACACCAAACTTGTCTTAGACTGCCTCTGCCCAGGTTGATACACTGATTGGGATCAGGTGTGACTGCAGTAGGGTGAAAGTCCCGCCTTTGGGGTCAAGGGAAGTTAGGTCTGATTTGGCTACTTAGGTGGATCAATCTAGGAGGAGTGACCTGGGGGCGCGTTCACAAGGACGCAACGTTTTGGGACGTTAAGATAGAAATATGCTATGTAGAACAAACATGCCTCTCCGACATGTAGAATAAAGGAATCACGTCTGCTCCATTCGTTGCATTTCTATCTACAACGTTCAAATACAGAACGTGGCCCTGGGCATTTGGGATAATTGTTTAGAATTTGTAATTTTACTCAATGTTCTAGGATATTTCCTTTCAAGCATTTTAGTAGCAATAGGAATGTTCTTAATTTGCTGGGTACCATATGCTGCTGGTCTCAGTCAGCGCTCTCTCTCTCCCCTTGGTCTGTTATCCCTTATCCTACTTTTGACCCTCGACTCCTTTATGTCCTGTGGCTTTTATGTCATTGAACCGTCGGTCCCATTCCAAATCCTCTGTGTTGCCCCACCCATGTGCACCGTCGCCACCCCCTTCTACCTGCCATACTGCCTCGCCCCCTTCCCTCCTCAGCCTGAACCCCAGCAGCCCCCTGCAGCGGAGGAGCCCCGGCAGAACGACGACAAAGAGCCCCAGGAGGCCAAGGCCGGCGGGGAGGAAGACGAGCCTGCAGCCAACCAGGGTGGCTGGGGCGACGATGGGACTGCGCCCGCCCCAAGCTGGGATACTGAATGGACACCGCAGGCTTCTCAGGCAGGCTGGGAGCAGGATGTGACCCAGACTGGGCAGTCTGAGGGTGGCTGGGGCGATAACGGGGCCCAGGTAGGGGAAGAGGCTGCAGATGCTGCCACTGATGGACAGGCAGGCTGGGGTGATGCGGGTGCCCAGGCTGGGTGGGCAGAGGAGCAGGCTGCAGACGGGCAGGCGGGCTGGGCTGACTCTGGGCAGACTGGCTGGGCTGACTCAGAGCAGAGTGTGAGTGGGCTGGGAACTAGGAAGTACCGTAGGGGAGTGCTGTAGATGTGCTATAGGTAGCACTGGTAGATGGACAGGAGGTTCAGTACAGTAGTGATGGGAGACCAAGGCTTCAGAAACACGATGGACAGCTGTGTGTTGATCGTTGCCTGGGACAAACAAACACCCTGTGAGCACCCTCGACACCGAGGAGTACCCCATCTCACAGGACGTTGATCAAGTTTCAGTCTCCCATCTTTAGGATCCGTAGATAGATGGTATGGCTGTTGTGGATGTCTGGTAGCACATGGTGACAGATTGCGCCCATGGAGAGAGTCTGTGTGTCTGTCTGTGTATTCTTGTGAAGTCTTCATACCTGTATGTGTATGCTGATCTCACCTCCCCTTTCTCTCCCTTCCAGACTGACGCCTCAGTGGCGGCCGCTGCAGGGGCTGCACCCGTAAGTACTGCAGTAAATGGGCAACGAATATGCAGTACAAACATTGGGTCCCTGGCATATCACGCCCTCTTACAGTGTGATGTAGACTTGATTGACCACTTAATACATCAGATTAAGCCTTTCCTCTGCTTATTTCTGAATCCAGACTGCGGTGACCAATGGGTCTTCTGAGGAGTTACCGGCTGGAGTCATCTACAAGGTGAGCCCTTTGCTTGTCTTGTTTCTAGAGGACCATTGAGACGGGTACTGAAAAGGGGTTGTTTGCACACCTAGTTCCAGGTCCATTGAGGAAGAAGGAACTCCAGCACACTAGTATTTTTTTGAATATTCCGCCAACAATGGATCTTGGTTGTTGCGGTCAGTAGATCTTCAAATCAGGTAGCGATATCGCTGTGTGTGATGTCTATTGTTTTTTTTTCCAGGTCAAAGCCATGCATGACTATGCTGCCACCGATGGAGACGAGCTGGAGATGAAAGCAGGAGAGGTTGTGCTGGTCCTGGCCTGGGAGAATCCTGATGAGCAGGTCAGTAGCCAGACGCATGCTACCCCATTGAGAACTATAACACGTTTTTCACACACACAACTCTCATGATTACAGGGTTACATCCTCTGAAAACCATGCTGTTTGTTTGTGTGTGTGTGTGTGTGTGTGCGCGCGCAGGATGATGGCTGGCTCATGGGCGTGAAGGAATCTCATTGGCTGGAGAACAAAGACCTCTTGGCAAAAGGCGTCTTCCCTGAGAACTTTACCCAGAAGTTGTGAGGCGGACGTCCAATCCTCTTTCTCCTCTTCCGTCCATTGGACCACAGGCCTCACAAGACTGGTCTGAAGGTCCCTCGGTACCAGTTGGAAATCTGCCAGGATAGAAACAATATGAAACCCACATCTCAATCCTTGACCCATGTATCAAATGTGCAGATCAGCACGATTTGTTGTTTTTGATTTGTTACATTTGACTACGTAATGTATGTGTTTTTGCTATGCTAATGTAGTCAGTCATGTATTTATGCTATGCTAATGTGGCTAGTAGAAACAAAAAGTATGCTAGTTTCGATGAAAAGGTAATGGACTCTTAGGTGCATTGTATGAATGTCAGACTGCTTGAACACGTTTTAAGAGTTGCATGATAATTTGACTGCACGGTCATTTACTTTGTAACAACATCTCACACCCCTAGACAGAGACTGGGACTGCTCTGGTATCAGCTCTCAGTCCTTCAGTTCTGGCTGTGATGAGACTAAACATTTACTGGTACTGGACCAGAACCTTGGGGCACACCACACCAGATGAATCAATGTGACCTGGGTCATGTTTGGTAGCGTACTCTACAGCAAAACAAAAATCAGTGTTGTTATTGGACAGTTCAGGTAGTATACCTCCACATTCACCCTACTGGCTCTGTTGTCGTTAACTCTTAAGTCTATGCTTTGTCTGTATCAAACTTTAAGTCACTATTATTCTATTTTGCCCAATGAAATGCAAAAAAACTCAGTAGCTGTTCTGAAACCATGTGACCTTATATCTGTGACCCGTTTAATGTCCCATTGGCCCCTGAGAAGGGGGCTCCCTAGGCTGTTGCTCTGCTAAGACGAATGTTTTTCTCTCCCTGGCTTTAAAGATTGTATTGTCCCTCTCTCCACCTTTATGTATTGTACCGTCCCCCTCTCCACCTTTATGCATTGTACCGTCCCTCTCTCCACCTTTATGCATTGTACCGTCCCCCTCTCCACCTTTATGTATTGTACCGTCCCTCTCTCCACCTTTATGTATTGTACCGTCCCCCTCTCCACCTTTATGTATTGTACCGTCCCCCTCTCCACCTTTATGTATTGTACCGTCCCCCTCTCCACCTTTATGTATTGTACCGTCCCCCTCTCCACCTTTATGTATTGTACCGTCCCCCTCTCCACCTTTATGTATTGTACCGTCCCCCTCTCCACCTTTATGTATTGTACCGTCCCCCTCTCCACCTTTATGTATTGTACCGTCCCTCTCTCCACCTTTATGTATTGTACTTTCCCCCTCTCCACCTTTATGTATTGTACCGTCCCCCTCTCCACCTTTATGTATTGTACCGTCCCTCTCTCCACCTTTATGTATTGTACCGTCCCCCTCTCCACCTTTATGTATTGTACCGTCCCCCTCTCCACCTTTATGTATTGTACCGTCCCCCTCTCCACCTTTATGTATTGTACCGTCCCCCTCTCCACCTTTATGTATTGTACCGTCCCCCTCTCCACCTTTATGCATTGTACCGTCCCTCTCTCCACCTTTATGCATTGTACCGTCCCTCTCTCCACCTTTATGTATTGTACCGTCCCCCTCTCCACCTTTATGTATTGTACCGTCCCCCTCTCCACCTTTATGTATTGTACCGTCCCTCTCTCCTAAGCAGTAGTTGAGGGGAAACAAAGGAAACCCAGCCTTTGCTCTCTCCCTTAGAGAGAAATCCCTCAGAGATTGGGTCAGAGGTCAGGACACACATCAGAAACAGGCTCCCTAGATCTGTATATGTTTCTATCAGTCTCTCTACTGTGAAAGAGATTCCTGGGACATGTGATTGGGAATGGTGTGCAGAAGCCCTGCAGGGTTGCAACCATATACATGGAATCCATAGAAAGGGCTTTGAAGTTGAAACCTCTAGCCCTGGCAATTTGACTGGTAAACTCATATGTGCAATGGCTGCCAGTCCACCCATTATGCCATCATTGACTTGAATGAGGAAGCCTGTCATATGGATTGTATTTCTATGGTTGCGACAGCCTTTGTGAAACACTGGATAACTAAAGCATGAGCATAGTATGCTCTCAACTCTGTGGTATTGGTTTCATTAGAACTCAGGTTATGGCCTGGCTCTGAGAGGAGTGAAGCCTGTCGATGACGGCTCAAATCATAAAATCTAACCATCTGTACTAGAATGTGTTGATAACGGCTAGAGGCAAGGGGTAATTAACAAACCGCATGTTCAGAAGAGTTTTAGAACTGTGGTCAATGTTCTGATCAAAATTATGGCTATTTATGGGTGTCATACAATTTTTATGTAACAATCCATACAAGTATCCAAAGAGCCCTGAAACAAATCATCTCAATGTCCACGATGTGTCCTGCTGAAAACCAAAGTTAAACTCAGTCAAATGAAGCCTATGGATGTACTGTGTTCAACTCCTAGATGTAGCTGAAAACCAACACCTGTGTGAACACACTGCGACTGTATGTTAATGTCTCTCAGTGGAAAGTGATCAAGCCTGTCACCGACAAGTCTTCTCTACAACATTAAACATGGATTCAACACCAGACACTGTGGCCTTCATTGTTTCTCCTGCTTTACACATGGGTGTTTGAACACATCTGAATGCAGGCCTGTTTGGTGATAGCTCAAACAACCTGTTCACACTACTGATCACACATCAGAAGACCAATCAGACAGCAGCCCCTCACTCGGGGACTACACCCACATAGGTCTGTGCTCCCTTATTCTAACACCAGGTGGCAGTGTGACTTGCCAGGCCTTTACGGCAAAGCATTGTAATGGCGGCCAATAGCAGGACTTGCTTAGTCACATTCCTCTCATGACATCATTGATGCTTCTGTGGTGAATATACAGTATATTCTGTTAGCAGGTGCATGCAATGGAGATGCTTCCAGGACTCAGACTGGCTCCCCTTTCAAAGCCATGCCTCAAACAATCACTATGGATTCAGTGACATAAGCAATATGTTTTTTTTTAACTCCCAAATAAGTATAGGAGCATCCCCATGCATTCATTAATTTATAATATGAAATGGATAAACAAGTCAAATGTTTTAAAACTTTATCAATTCTTCCTTTTGTCAATGAAGGAGTTTGAGTTAAAAGGTCACCTTGGTGTAACCGTTACCTATGGTGCTGTTGTTACCATAGGATACAGTCAACAAAGCATGAAACACAACAGAACCCTGCCAGGCCACAGGGAGGGAGGGAGGGAGGGAGGGAGGGGAAGGCAGCTCCTTTGAATAACAAATGCCTCCAAACAGCAGGGGCTATGGGGGAGGGGATCAACCTTCTTAAAGTGACTAATTCCTCAATTCCTTCTTTAACGGACTGCCGCTAACGTAGCATGTGTATTACATTTGGTTGTTCTTTAATGTTTAGGGATGAAACTACAGTCCCCTTAGGAACCTTTGTCCTACGTAAGGTGGGGCTGGTCGGTCGGTCGGTCAGAGTTACACGTTATCATCCTGGGTAGATGGGGAGGAGTTACTGATGTGCAGCAGGGTTTGTATGCAGTGTGTCCTCTCGAGCTGAATGATTGGCTTTCCTCTTCCCAGCCCAGAACGCAGATCGACCAAACACATTTAACCCCTTTGTTACCAACAACAAAGCTGGTTACCAAGGTGTTCGCTAGTCTTATAAATACAGACGAACCGCCACCAAGACACACAAGCGAGATTTCTGACGCAGATCCTTAACGTCGGCCTGAAGAAACTGCAATAATGGTAAGTCTGAATGTTATGCCTCCTGCTTCCTTCATGCAGAGATCCTGTCTTTTGTTTCTCCATTAGGCCTCACGTCTTAAACCAGATCTGCTTCTTCTTTCATTGCCTTGATAGATCAAATATATGGATAGAAATAGAATTGCATTGGCAATCTTGACACTGATAATGTTCCTGAGCAAATTCAGAGGTATTTAGCTGTAACATTAGAAATAATGTTATTTAATTGTTTGACCTAAATCCTCCCCCCCCAAAAAAAACGTAACCTGAAGTTGTGAATATTTTATTATGGCTAATGGTTTCAATTCTGTCCTTTCTCTGCAGCGTGAATGCATCTCTGTCCACGTCGGCCAGGCAGGTGTCCAGATGGGCAATGCATGCTGGGAACTGTACTGCCTGGAACATGGGATCCAGCCTGATGGACAGATGCCCAGTGATAAGACTATTGGTGGGGGAGATGACTCCTTCAACACCTTCTTCAGTGAGACTGGGGCTGGCAAACATGTTCCTCGTGCAGTCTTTGTGGACCTGGAGCCAACCGTCATCGGTAATGAATCTATCCTCAATCACAAAATGGAAAACATGCCTAGTCATTTTTTTGTGTCCAGTATCTGTAGTTTGATTCTAACTTGCTTCTATCCTGTCATTCCACAGATGAAGTACGCACAGGTACCTACCGCCAGCTGTTCCACCCTGAGCAGCTGATCACAGGCAAGGAGGATGCTGCCAACAACTATGCCCGTGGTCACTACACCATTGGCAAGGAGATCATCGACCTGGTACTCGACAGGACGCGCAAACTGGTAAGACCCAACCTAGTCATCTTTCTAGGTGGATGTACCTTCCATCTTTGATACAAATATACACGGTTTGTGACACATTCCTTCCTGTTTCTTTCAGGTAAGACAGAACTGGTAAGACTCATACCATTTTAAAGCAAGGGCTTGTGTTGACACCAAATGTAGAAATGCTAATAAATACTAGTGGTGTGGACCAATATCAATACTTCTATATGATATAGATATGAGCAAGGCATATGGTGATATGGGTTTATCCATGCTGTTAACATAGATTATTATGGAAAAAAGCACACGACTGTTGCTGCAGACAAAACCCTCTCACAGGCTCAATTTAGCATACTTAGTCGCACTCCAGCTATTTTAGAACTTTCTGTGTTGTAAAACAACATCCCACGTATAAATACGGCAATGTACACACACTTAAGGGAAAAACGTTTTTTAGAGCAACATTTTTTTTTTTTTAAACAAGTGCAAACTTCATGGAGCAGGTCATTCAAGGACTTGGTCTGATGGTGCTCTCTGATGTCCTCCCCCCTTGCTAGCGGGAACAATAGAGAACAAACGAGGAAAGGCCCACCCCTCCAGCATAGAAATAGCGCACATAAAACAGATCTACCGCTTCTTAGACTTGCTGTCAATGCGAATGACAGATCTATAACTCATATTTCTATGTGAATTTGGTCTGGTCGCCCAAAAAGTGACATATTGCAGCTTTAAGTCAATCACGTAATAAGTGGAGAGGAGACTTCAACGGGCTGCTGATGGGCCCTCAACGGGCTGCCCATTGTATTCAAAACAGGTTGTGTTGGTTGGTTAGGCCTCCTGGACATTCACACCTGGCCCAATAGGCAACCAGAAAGCAGTTGTCTGAACTTCACAGAACCGTGGAAATGAATTCCACACAGTTGCAATGTTATTCATTCAAACTAATATGATATCGGTTCGAAAAAGTGCAACTGATGTCGATATTGATTTCCCATGTCAACGCCCATCACTAATAAATACATTTCATAATTTTCTTCCTTTGTTTCTTCCAGGCTGACCAGTGCACTGGTCTCCAGGGCTTCCTGATCTTCCACAGCTTTGGAGGCGGCACCGGCTCTGGTTTCACCTCCCTGTTGATGGAACGTCTCTCTGTCGATTATGGGAAGAAGTCCAAGCTTGAGTTTGCCATCTATCCAGCTCCCCAGGTGTCCACTGCTGTGGTGGAGCCTTACAACTCCATCCTGACCACCCACACCACCCTGGAGCACTCCGACTGTGCCTTCATGGTGGACAATGAGGCCATCTATGACATCTGCCGCAGGAACCTAGACATTGAGCGCCCCACCTACACCAACCTCAACAGGCTGATTGGTCAGATCGTCTCCTCCATCACCGCCTCCCTGCGTTTCGATGGAGCCCTCAATGTGGATCTGACAGAGTTCCAGACCAACTTGGTGCCCTACCCCCGTATCCACTTCCCTCTGGCCACCTATGCTCCAGTCATCTCTGCTGAGAAAGCCTATCACGAGATGCTATCAGTGGCTGAGATCACCAACGCCTGCTTTGAGCCAGCCAATCAGATGGTGAAATGTGACCCACGTCACGGCAAGTACATGGCCTGCTGTTTGCTGTATCGTGGTGACGTTGTGCCCAAAGATGTCAACTCTGCCATCGCCACAATCAAAACCAAGCGCACCATCCAGTTTGTGGACTGGTGTCCCACTGGCTTCAAGGTTGGTATCAACTACCAGCCACCCACAGTGGTCCCTGGAGGAGATCTGGCCAAGGTCCAGAGAGCTGTGTGCATGCTGAGCAACACCACTGCCATCGCTGAGGCCTGGGCCAGGCTTGACCACAAGTTTGACCTGATGTACGCCAAGAGGGCCTTTGTGCACTGGTATGTGGGAGAGGGCATGGAAGAGGGAGAGTTCTCAGAGGCCAGAGAAGACATGGCAGCCCTGGAGAAGGATTATGAAGAGGTGGGCACTGACAGTGTAGGAGACGAGGGGGAGGAGGAGGGAGAAGAATATTAAAAAGTAGTCAACTGGTAAAGACCAACATCTGTGAAGAACAACAGGGAATGAAGAGGAGGATGCAGGGGAGGAAGAGTAGAATGTTAAGATCTATAGTCTCAGCTTTACAACATGAATGTTGAAACCACACAGGTCTATGATTTTTTAGCCAGACACAGTTTGGATCAAATCGAGAATAGTAACAATTTTAACCATCTATTTCTTTGGGCATGAATACTTTCTGTGAAAAAATAAAGCATTCATTGTCAATGCCCAAAATATTTCTCTGTGTCATGCTTGCTCAAAACCAATTATTCTGTAATGTCCATGTATAAGCCCTCTCCCTAGTCTCATTCCACAGCTGTTGCTATGGCAAGAGGTTCTGCCTTGAGGCAAGTCAGTCATACTCTATCACACGATCAGCAATTTGAGGAGATAGTGCACCATCAACCACCACACACTGGTGTTAACTAAATGGTGTCCTCTGTCTTTCCTGAACTTCTGCTAAACTTCCCGATCCTGTCCTGCTCCAGCTGTGGGAGAGTGTTTGGTTAAGGCTGTTTGGTACTGTGTAAACACCACTTTTGGTGATAGGTAGTCAGCTCACACTGAAGCCATCTAACTCCCAGGTCTCTTTTCTCATGAAACAAACCACCAAGCTCAGCTGACACCCAGCTGTAAAACACTGACTCCGGAGAAAAACTATTGGTAACCAAACGAGAACTACAGTATCTGAAAATCCTTAAGATACTCATTGATGAAAAAGTCAGCAGTGGCTACCTGTGGTTATACATTGACCAACTACTTACTTACATCCAGTGTATTTAACAGCTACCAAAACCTCAGTGGTAGAACCAGAATCATTTTCACCACACTAAAAAGGAAAACAAATACTGCTGCAGTAATTAATGCCTTGGAGCTGTGAATTTGACAGCATGAATTGTAAAATTACAAAATATTGAGGGCAAGAATAAACAATACAGTTGATATATAATATGCTCTTTTAATAGACAAGCATTTCTATACATATAACATATGGTTAGCCCATCCTTTAAAAGTAAAGACTGCTTCCCTTGCAAACAATGAAGAAGACTGACCACACACACACACACCAGAAACTAAGAACAAAAGCACTAGGTTTCAAAGAGAACAACTTGTGTGAAGCCTGCTGTTGACGTTCTGTTCCAGACAATATGACTATAGACAGAGCTCTCAAATGACACCTGTTTTATGGAAGACAGACGCTGAGGTTTTCCCTAGGCTCCGCTCACCTGTGGTCATTTGCATTGTAAATGAATCTCTACTACTATGCTGACAATAATTATCTCCTGTAACAATAGCCTATTCAGATCACCCTGGGGAGATGGGGCGGTATCCATTTTATTTCATCAGGGCAATGGGACAACATGACCTTTACAAAATGGATCCTCTTTAGTTGGAAAGAGTTTGAGCAGTAAATGTGTACAGTGTCCTCTAAGATAAATGAAACAGGAACAAGAAATATCTTGAGAAACAGGCTTTGTTCAGGGTGCAAAATACATTTAATAAATGTGGAAAACGTTTTTTTCCCCTTCATATAACTGAACAGGCTACATTTTACTTGTGAAATTGAACTAATATATGAGGGGGGTAAGGCTTATAAATGTAATAAATATGGGTCGTATTTCACAAGTATTGGACGGGTCTTGGATATTGTTTACCAATCTAACAGCCGGCATCATTCCTAGACTCAGGGTAGCAATTCATATTATTTTTGTCTTTGTCCCCGTTTCATTTAAGAATCCAAGATGGTATCAGCTTATCAGAGTTCTCCAGTTACTACAACATGCACTGTTGCCTAGCAATCCGGCACGGTTAAAAAGCTGCTCCATGAGCAACACAACATAAAAGATTCCCGAGTAGGCAACTGCTTCAAGTCCCTTTCCTGTCCCACTGGCTTCAAGGTTGGTATAAAATACCAGCCACCCACAGTGGTCCCTGGAGGAGATCTGGCCAAGGTCCAGAGAGCTGTGTGCATGCTGAGCAACACCACTGCCATCGCTGAGGCCTGGGCCAGGCTTGACCTGATGTATACCAAGAGGGCCTTTGTGCACTGACAGTATTGGGGATGAGGAAGAGGAATATTAAAGAGTTGAGACATGGACTGTATATGTGTGCCATTCAGAGGGTGAATGGACAAGACAAAATATTAAAGTGCCTTTGAACAGGGTATGGTAGTAGGTGCCAGGTGAACCAGATTGAGTATGTCAAGAATTGCAACGGTGCTGTGTTTTTCACGCTCAACAGTTTCCCTGTGTGTAATCAAGAATGGTCCACCACCCAAAGGACATCCAGCCAACTTGACACAACTGTGGGAGGCATTGAAGTCAACATGGGCCAGCATCCCTGTGGAACACTTGACACCTTGTAGAGTCCATGCCCCAACTAATTGAGGCTGTTCTGAGGGCGAAAAGGGGTGCAACTCAATATTAGGAAGGTGTTCCTAATGTTTTGTACAATCAGTGTATGTGAATGAGTTTAAATGTACACTATATATAAACAAAGGTGTGTGGACACCCTTCAAATTAGTGGATTTGGCTATTTCAGCCACACCCGTGTATTAAAATCGAGCACACAGCCATGCAATCACCATAGACAAACATTGGCATTACTGAAGAGTTCAGTGACTTTCAACGTGGCACCGCCATAGGATGCCACCTTTCCAACAAGTCAGTTCTTCAAATGTCTGCCCTGCTAGAGCTGCCCCGGTTCGTTGGGAGCTTCATGAAATGGGTTTCCATGGCCGAGCAGCCGCACACAAGCCTAAGATCCACAATGCCAAGCGTCGGCTGGAGTGGTGTAAAGCTCGCCACCATTGGACTTTGGAGCAGTGGAAACACGTTCTCTGGAGTTATGAATCACGCTTCACCATCTGGTAGTCCGACGGACAAATCTGGGTTTGGCGGATGCCAGGAGAACACTACCTGCCAGAATGCATAGTGCCAACTGTAAAGTTTGGTGGAGGAGGAATAATGGTCTGGGGCTGTTTTTCATGGTCAGGCCCCTTAGTTTCAGTGAAGGGAAATTGTAACGCTACAGCATACAATGGCATTCTAGACGATTCTGTGCTTCCAACTTTGTGGCAACAGTTTCAGGAAGTCCCTTTTCTGTTTCATCATGACAATGCCCCAGAGCACAAAGCGAGGTCCATACAGAAATGGTTTGTCGAGATCGGTGTGGAAGAACTTGACTGGCCTGCACAGAGCCCTGACCTCAACCCCATCGAACACCTTTGGGATGAATTGGAACGCCGACTGTGAGCCAGGCCTAATCGTCCAACATCAGTTCCCGACCTCACTAATGCTCGTGGCTGAATGGAAGCAAGTACCCGCAGAAATGTTCCAACATCTAGTGGAAAGCCTTCCCAGAAGAGTGGAGGCTGTTATAGCAGCAAAGGGGAGACCAACTCCATATTAATGGCCATGATTTTGGAATGAGATGTTCGACGAGCAGGTGTCCACATACTTTTGGTCATGTAGTGTAATTAGGCTCGTCTTCCAGATGTTTAGTTGGGGTCAACAACAAATAGCTAATTCCACAGCAGTTCAGTCTTTGTAAAGCTGACCTCAAATTGTATACAATAATACAATTGTGTTCTCTACAAAACATATTGTACTAGGTTAACAGGGTACTTAAAATAAAGGTTAAATAAAAAATAAAAAAGGTTAACAGGGGTACTTAAAAGGTGCAATCGCCAATATCTACTATCATTTCAATGAATGATATAGGTCTACACATTGATTCTTAAGAAAGTGTTACCAATATAACTTATAAATGTCCCTTGAGCATGAATAAAAAAAAGACATTTAGGATTGTGAAATTAAATATTTCTTACTTTAAAAGGTTACTTTGGGTTTAGGCTACTTCTCAGTAGCAGGTATTATGTGCAAAGTTACAAGCCCCTCCCCTGTGCTTGCAGTAGTTTATTTCCCTTCCAGTAGAGCCGACATCCATTCCCTGTTCTCTTCATTAAATATATTAGTGATTATGAAAGATATTAGTCATCCCAATATGTAACATCTGCTTGTCAACCTTTCTTTGCATGAGGAGCATTTCTTTGGAGTAAAGAGTGTTCTTTATGTGTGGACTGTGTCTTGAAAGCAGAACTACAGCTCTGACTCAGTCCCTGAGATAGATTAGCAGTTTGCAGAGGGGCCGCCCCTTTTTTTGTGCTAACAGTCGCTCCCGCCCAGAGAAAAAAAAAAGACAGCTTCCTGCACCCCCTCCCCAGACAGTATAAAAACCCCGCCTTGGCCCCCTCCCCCATTACAGCCTTCATTCTCCGAATCCTCAACGTCGGCCGAAGGAAAGAAATCTGTCAAAATGGTGAGTACTGAGTACTGCAGTTGATTCTTAAAAAAAAAAAAAAAAAGTGATTAGATAAACAGTGAGAGAAGTTAAAATGTCCTTGGATTGAACATTTGTACATTTTTCGGTCAAATATATACCAGTATGTCTATTTATAGTTTGTTAGAGTTTGATCATCATACACTATCATTGGCTAATGTTAAGAGGTTTTATTTGATTTGTATCTTATAGATAGCATTAACAGCCACGCTGCCGTTGTTGGATAGGATCTGGGTTTGGGTGCAGTGGAGGAAACGGACTCAGCACTGTGACGAAGGGGATTGAGAGCATGTGGGGCTGACGCCAGAGAACTGGTACAGTTTCCTCCACCAGCGGGAGGAAAGCACATTACAGTCAGAAGCACTTGCCTCAATTCAATGTATAAATTAGATTTTCAAGAACAATTATTCAGTTTGTTTGGGTGGAGGGGGTATTTAGAAAATGGTTTACTTGACAATTTGTTCTGGCTAAATGCTATTTTTTTGTACTTTCACTCTTTAGTAATAACGGCAGAGGGGATATTTGTATCTGGGCAGCGCAGTTATGAGAAAAAAAAGTCAGTTTGTATATCTGTTCTAGAAGACACAGATATCCTGTCTGTGCGTTAAACAAAGCAGCGCGCTTTGGCACTGAGGGCAGGGTGGGGGTTGGGAGTGGCCTGCCGGGCTATGGATTTTTCCTCTAGCACTGGGAGTTTATAACTGCACTGCCGGTTTCATTGGAGAACGACTGCCCCCTTTCATTGAAGACAGTTAGTTCAAGACCGACCGCGGTACTGCAGGCATTGTTAGCAGAAAACAGGACCCCCCCCCCCCATTATAATGAATGGAACAAATTGCAATCATCGTGGTCAAACTTCCTGTAAATAAAAACATTTTGGGAAATGACAATCACGGTACCAATAATTGGGGTTCACAGAGCTCCGTCTCTGTGGAGGTGGGGCTGCAGTAATAACCCGCATATGACTCAGCATTCAGCTGCCCAAAGCTCCACCACCTACGGAGAAGCAACCCCACCCTTTAAACAGCTGTAGTTGGGGTAATATAAGACGTAGAGATGGGACAGGTGTTACAAACAGTAAAATGACTACTTTCACTATTGATTTATAATAATTTGTATCCTAATGATAGGACTACTGATTTGCAGTTGGTAAGGATGGTGCTTGTTGCCAAGTAGCAATGACATTGAATCCCTGGCCTATGATCGATTCAGATATCTAAACTGGGACAATGAGAGTATCGTTGGAAACTGTGGGCTCGGCATGTGACCAGTCTGCAGCCGGAAATCTAAAATGGAAACCAATGTAAATGTAAATGAAACAACAAGAAATAGAAGGCCCTACCTTCATCTTGAATAGGATTCACAGATGTCAGGACTGATTTAATTGCATGGATCATTTTCAGATTTTCTTCCACAGCCAGTTCCATGAATAACACTCGCTCTTATTCATCCAACGGAGCTCTTCAGAGTTCATGGAGGTGTCAGCGGTTTCTTAGCCAAACAGTTTGGCCTGTATCTAGAGCCATTCACAAAATGTAGTCTCAACATTTGTCTTTTGCTTTTGATTGAATAACACTAACAGATAGGATATCCATGAACATTCATCAGTTGAGGGATGACGTTTTCATGACCTTGAACTTCATGAAAGCCATAAGTTGACATCTCTGTTTCTCTGCAGCGTGAGTGTATTTCTATGCACGTCGGCCAGGCCGGAGCCCAGATGGGCAATGCATGCTGGGAATTGTACTGCCTAGAGCATGGGATCCAGCCTGATGGACAGATGCCCAGTGATAAGACTATTGGTGGGGGAGATGACTCCTTCAACACCTTCTTCAGTGAGACTGGGGCTGGCAAACATGTTCCTCGTGCAGTCTTTGTGGACCTGGAGCCAACCGTCATCGGTAATGAATCTATCCTCAATCACAAAATGTAAAACATGCCTAGTCATTTTTTTGTGTCCAGTATCTGTAGTTTGATTCTAACTTGCTTCTATCCTGTCATTCCACAGATGAAGTACGCACAGGTACCTACCGCCAGCTGTTCCACCCTGAGCAGCTGATCACAGGCAAGGAGGATGCTGCCAACAACTATGCCCGTGGTCACTACACCATTGGCAAGGAGATCATCGACCTGGTACTCGATAGGACGCGCAAACTGGTAAGATCCATTTAAAAGCTAGGCCTTGTGTTAACCTTGTACTGAAACCAAAAGGTATACATTTAAATGAACGGTACATTTCTTAATGTTCTTCCCTTGGTTTCTTCCAGGCTGACCAGTGCACTGGTCTCCAGGGATTCCTGATCTTCCACAGCTTTGGAGGCGGCACCGGCTCTGGTTTCACCTCCCTGCTGATGGAACGTCTCTCTGTAGACTATGGGAAGAAGTCCAAGCTTGAATTTGCTGTTTACCCTGCTCCCCAAGTTTCTACTGCTGTGGTGGAGCCTTACAACTCCATACTGACCACCCACACCACCCTGGAGCACTCCGACTGTGCCTTCATGGTGGACAATGAGGCCATCTATGATATCTGCCGCAGGAACCTAGACATTGAGCGCCCCACCTACACCAACCTCAACAGGCTGATTGGTCAGATCGTCTCCTCCATCACCGCCTCCCTGCGTTTCGATGGAGCCCTCAATGTGGATCTGACAGAGTTCCAGACCAACTTGGTGCCCTACCCCCGTATCCACTTCCCTCTGGCCACCTATGCTCCAGTCATCTCCGCTGAGAAGGCCTATCATGAGCAGCTGTCTGTTGCTGACATCACCAACGCCTGCTTTGAGCCAGCCAATCAGATGGTGAAATGTGACCCACGTCACGGCAAGTACATGGCCTGCTGTTTGCTGTACCGTGGTGATGTTGTGCCCAAAGATGTCAACTCTGCCATCGCCACCATCAAGACCAAGCGCACCATCCAGTTTGTGGACTGGTGTCCCACTGGCTTCAAGGTTGGTATCAACTACCAGCCACCCACAGTGGTCCCTGGAGGAGATCTGGCCAAGGTCCAGAGAGCTGTGTGCATGCTGAGCAATACCACTGCCATCGCTGAGGCCTGGGCCAGGCTTGACCACAAGTTTGACCTGATGTACGCCAAGAGGGCCTTTGTGCACTGGTATGTGGGAGAGGGCATGGAAGAGGGAGAGTTCTCAGAGGCCAGAGAAGACATGGCAGCCCTGGAGAAGGATTATGAAGAAGTGGGTACTGACAGTGTAGGGGACGAGGAGGAAGAAGGAGAGGAGTACTAAAGGATGTAACTTCCGATCTGCTGATGTTCCATTCATATAGTCTACCAGTCCCAGATAGTGCAAGTAGTAAGAAAACAACAAAAATGGTTAAATGGACTAATATTGGAAATCATTCCATAGAGTAAGCACATTCCACCGCGCTACAAGAAGAACCTTCCTGCCTCACATCAGCCATTTTGAATAAAATATGAAAATAAAATAATTAGTGTCTTGTGTTTATTGGATGAAACCTATTGGTATGTCAACATGAAGTAGCAGATATATCTGACGCCTTGATCACACCAACAGTGTCATTTTGCAAAGTAGTATGCAGCATCATCTAGATATGTGTGCAACAAAAGTTCAACATTCACCTTCTGCTACCATTTCTGTCAAGCCGTCTACGCATACAGTTTGACTCATACATTCGATAAATCCAACGTATGCACCACACAGAACGCACTGAACTGCCCCTGCAACGCAATGCTGCAAGGCAAACGTAGCATTCCATTGGGAATTAATGTACTTCTGGTGTACCAAAATGCAATGTTCCTGTTGGTGTGATCGAGGCGTGAGGTGATGTGCCAAGCTGAGAAACAGATTCAGCATACAACTGTAGGACATTTTCAAGTGAGCATTTTCAAAGGTACGTGGTAGGCTAAGCTATACGGAGCTGCAAAACGTACAAGTCAGACATTTAGAAAGGTTTACTTAGACATTTAGAAAGGTTTACTGAGACATTTAGAAAGGTTTACTGAGACATTTAGAAAGGTTTACTGAACCAGATTTGATCAAACAATAACCCTCTCGCTCTCCACAATCTCCAGATGATTTCTGACCATACAGCTTTATGCTATTGCATGCCATAGTACACAGACTGTACATCAGAATGTACTCCAGTTATAATACTGTATGCTTGAAATTAATGGAATTCACTTTCATTAGTAAACAATCTCCACTTTGAAAAACAACCCAATCCTTTTACTGAGTTATTCACTGTTTTACTAGCAATAAGGATATTAAACAGCCTTTCCCTTCTATGGTTGATTGTAGTGATGGTTATCCTACATCCTGTTGTGAAATCCCACTTTGTTTGACCCTCGAAGTCAAAATATTGCTGTGTACCAAACTGAGTATGAGAGTACATAAATTATAGGCCTATATCAGAGAAAACAATAACTGTTTTCGCGGGCTCAGCCCTGTGACTATCTACCTTATGACGTCAACTCTTCACATTTTCTAATGGCGCTTTCATGACAACTGTTGCCGCGTTCAAAACAACTGGGAACTATGAAAAAAACGAGCTCCGACTTGGGAAAAATCGATTTGAACGGACATCCAACTCGGAATTCTAACTCTAGGAAGATGCCTTGAGTGTCCGAGTTGGAATTCCGAGTTGGATGACCACTCAAAACGGTTTTCCCAGCCGGAGCTAGTTTGCCCACTCTTGCTATCAGATTATAGTCGAACGTAAACTAGACGGGCCAATAAAACAGTGAGTTGCAGTGAGAATGACTACCATGAAATTCGTCAGGAGAAAAATAATCTTAAAAATCCACAATTTCGCTAATTCTTTCTGTATGAAGGGATGCTATGCATGAAGTTAGCTAGCTCTTCTAGCTAACTGCATTGGTGTAGCCTCTCTGGCGGGCGATATGCCTTCATGGCTGGCCAAAACATTTGTTATTTTCTGTTGTTTAAAAGGACTTCGTGGTTGAAAGCAAATGTATATTACTGTAACGTTATTAATGTTCATAACACTTCGATTGGATGACTGTCAGCATATCGGGACAAAACCTTACCTCACACGAGATCTCTTTGGCAGGTGCCACCCCTCGTGATAGGAGACGTCAGTCTGTTTGCGTGGCAAATACGTCACGACACGTGCGTGTTTATAAACAATTTGACCCCTTGAACGATTGTGATTGGTAGGATTTGTATGCCCAAAGGACAAAAAATACATTTACATTACGTTACATTTTAGTCATTTAGCAGACGCTCTTATCCAGAGCGACTTACAGTTAGATACCTGCACAATCAATAAATAAACATTGAAAAAAATATCAGAGAAACAGCACTCAGCCTATTAAGCATTTGCAACACACACACGTTTATTAGTTACCACATAAAGTTACAAAATAGTCATTTTAATATTTTAACATTTTTTGTTTATTTTTTTTCTGCTTTACTTGAGGTAAACAACAATAATTGAACAAATAATTTACAACATTCTATATGGCACAGAAAGAGAAGAGGGAAGTAAAGGTTAGTCATCTTTCCCAGAGGGTTAGTAAAACAAGAGAACATGGAATGTGAATGAGCAGGACTTGAGATTTGGGTAAATCGTAAACAAATACACTGAGGAGCAGGGAGAATCAGAGAGACAGCTGGCAACCCTTACTCACATCCATCCTCAATCACCAACCACAGCCGAAACCTTTGTGATGACACTCTGAAAAGGACATAGTTCTTTGATGTAAAACGTTAAAATATTATGATTTTATCTACCTTTGAGAGAGAAAACAATAAGCCATCTCAGCTCACCCCAATAACCTGGAACCCGTTCACAGGGGGACTCTGTCAGAGGACACGTATAGAAGATGACAGAAAAAAAAAAAACCACTTCGTCGTCACCAACACCACAGAGAATAGCAAGGAATCGAAGGCATCATTCAAACGGGAGAGAACGCACAAAGAACAGCTTGGTCATTCTACACCATATTGTAAAGAAAAGGTGAGGTAAGACACAGTTGATGATTGAAGATACAATTCCATGGCGCAAGGTGAAGGATCATCGAGTGAGGGGTCTGTGGTACAGGCAGGTAGGCAGGCAGGTCTGGATCGAGTTGGTTTCACTGGGGCAGGGCTTTCAGGATGGCATTCACCTCCTCCGCCACAGCGGTCAGGGCAAACTCAAACTGGTCCTGTAGAGAAAATGATCATTATGTGATTTAAATTGAACAGTGGAAAATATAGGTTATAGTCCAACCTTCAATTGGGCATGTTGCATTATGGTCTGATGACGCAATGCATGTCATGTTTGGGAATGTATCCACCATAGATTATATACTGTAGATATACAAGGTTGTGTTTATGACAGTACCTTGGTGCGCACCATCCCTGGTCTCTGGTCACGGACGTGCTCCAGGGTCGCAGCAATGTCAATCTCCTTCACTCCTGAAATAAATTAAAAACTGGCAACTTCAATTTCAAGCCAAAAATGCATGCAAAAAACACTCATACACCAAAATCACACTTACATACAGAAATGGACAGTCTAATATGCTCACCTTTGGCCATGCGGTTCAGAACCATGTCAATCAGGATGTAGGTGCCAGTCCGGCCTGTACCATCACTGTATAGGAGAACATTAACATCTTAACATTAATAATAGACCAAACAACTGACTGAACAATTAACATTTGATGTACCATATCAACTTACAACTGTCGTTTGCAGAGGAGGCTGGTGGGATGAGCTATAGGAGTACGGCTCATTGTAATGGCTGGAATGGCATCAATGGAACGGAGTCAAACACGTTGATCCATGTGTTTGGTACCATTCCATTGATTCCATTCCAGCCATTACAATGAGCCAGTCCTCCTATAGCTCCTCCCACCAGCCCCCTCTGGTTTTGTTTCCTGCTGTGTTTTGTGTATGTAATGTGTAAGCTGTGCAAATAATTATCTTGTAGGACAATAAACGTAAATCTAGTCTAATCTATACAGCATGCATTATTTAGTCATAACACCACCAGAGATAATGATTACGTTCAAGTGAGAAGAATAAAACGGCCCAAAATCTGTCTTCTCCAGCAGGTGGCGTTTTTTCTTTATCCTTTTCTCGCTCACCAAGCAAGGAGTTTTTGTATGGCCGGTCAATGAGTGTCGAATTTTCATCAACCAAAAATGTAATGGCTTATTTGCTACGTGAGGTTTATTTGATCAAATATACGTTTTGTAAGGCTTAGGTTGTTACGCGTGTACTGATATAAGTAGGACACGTGACATCCCGGCAACTTTCAGAAAATACACTTTATATCGGAGTTCTGCCTGCGCAGACACTCTTATCCAGAGCGACTTCCAGCAGTGAGTGCATACTTTTTAGTTTTTGTCTCCTGTGGGAATCGAACCCACAACCCTGGTGTTGCAAGCGCCACACACTACCAACTGAGCCACACGGGACAGAAGGGTCCCACCTGATCTTGCCTTCTCCGGACTGCCTTCCATTTTTTGAATACATTTATTTTAATTGTTAGAGCGGCCAATGGAGCATCTTGGTCAATACAGTGGAACATCAGTGGTACATTTCCACTGTCTCTGACAACACCTTGAGCCAAGCAGCATCTGAAAGAGAATGGCGAGGTTCTGCTACCATGTGGAGAAAAGTGGTATTGCAAACGTTGGTTTACCTGCAGTGTACAATGATCGGACAAGATCTGCCTCTGTAGCACTTATTAACCTTCCTGTGGAGATGCAGAGAGAGAGGGAGATCAAATATAAGTGAATACTGAATGAAGTGAACACTGATCGAGAACATAGATATTGATCATGCTTGACAAATGGCAAGTCATACAAACGTCAGACAACCTAAAATGAGGACACTACACAAATCCTAACTCGATTGTCGTCTCCTAATTAATAAAAAAATAAAAATAATAATCTGTTTACATTGCAGACGTTGCATTGCATCAACCAATGGTTGCGTGCCACGTCATCAACTGTGCAGTCGGGCATCAGACTGCAATATCATACTATGTGGTTCCCTGATTTAAAAAACAACACCTATCTAGGCATTGGGAGATCTGGCAGCAATATAGTCACACTGGAACGCAGCCTAAAGGCTCTAAAAGAGCAGTCAGTGTGTATTCAACATGGAGGAAAAACAGCCCTATTCGAAGCACCACTTGTTTTATACATCTCATCACGGGAGGAGTTTAACAATCATTATAGGATGAAAATTACTTCTGGAGATCGAGAAAGAGGAGCGTTCGCAGCACAGTGATGAGGAGGAGAGTCAAAAGGATGAGAGAGAAAGATAAGAGACAGAGAGAGAGTGTAAAAAAGGGTAGAGAGAGGAGTCAGAGAAAGGGAGAGAGGAGATGGGGGAGCTAAGGGGGTTAGGCGATGGACCTCCTGCTGCAGCCACACCTGTCCGTGATCATTTTTGTGACTATGCAACTGGACCCAGACTACTAGCTGCAAATCACAAAGATGACACGGACAGATATGTAAAATATCATGAGCCCGCTGACCTCCATCGCAAGACAGACGTGTGAGAGCAAAGAGGAGGGACAGAGGGAGTGTCCAAGGGAGAGATGGGACGAGGGAAGAGAGGGATTGAAAAGGGAAAGTGAAAGGCAAATTAAGTAAACACAACACAGACAGAAAGAGAGAGAGAGACAGAGAGAGACAGACAGAGAGAGAGAGAGACAGAGAGACAGAGACAGCGACAGAGAGAGACAGAGACAGACAGAGAGAGAGAAGGATGAAATTGAATTGAAAAGGGAAAGACTGGATGGAAATGAGATAAGAGAGGGAGAAGGTAAAAGGAAAGAGAGAAGGGTGGATGAGTGAAATTAGATACGTTTTGGTCATCCCATCATCTAGTAGGGATTAGATGAGAAAGATAGATTGAGGATTATAAGGAGTTGTGGACAGAGAAAGATGTGAGACTGACACTGTTGATGAGTGACACAGGAATTAGAGACCAAACAAGATAGGAGCATGGGCTGGGGAAACCATAGGATGTATCATATAATAAAATCAATTCCAAACCTCAAAATGTCAAACACTCTGTTGTCCTGTAAATCTGGGTTGTGTTCATTATGACATGCAATATTTTAAAAATGTTTTTCAAATGGAAAACAACAAAAATTAGCATTAGTCACTCCCTGTTTCAGTCCCCCCCCCCCCCCATTTCGTGCCTAATAAACACGACCATGCGTTCAATGTCCATGCGTTACCTGCGGAAGTCCAGCAGGGTACGTGTGGAGGTTGGGATGCCCTGGGCAGGCCAGCTGAGGAAGTGGAACTGGGTGAGTGTGCGGGTCTCCTGGGTATGGACGTTCTTCAGGTAGAAACTACGAACCAGGAAGTCATTGCACCAGATGTGCTCTGACACCAGGTTCACCTGATGGACACACAGACCATTGTTACAGATCAGGACAGACACACCGAGTCAGAAACACACAGGCTCACACGTCTGTACTCACCTCATAGATGTGGTAGAGGGAGGATCCTTCGTCAGGCCAGTAGCGATCACACTGTTTCTCTCCGTCCTCAACCAGGGCAGTCATCATCACTATCACCGTGCAGCCATTCTCCCAAACCATCTATAGAGGAACACCATTACACACACACACACACACACACACACACTAGAACATGTAAACATAGAGCTTGGAGACCAATAACATTACCATGTACTCCATAGTGTATTATGTGTTTGAGTGATGATTGTACACATTATATGGTTCAACTTAGGGTACATTCTTAGAACATTTGCATAATGCGGCAGCAACAAACTGGCATTTCCCTAAAGGGCAGCAACAAACTGGCATTTCCCTAAAGGGACAATAGAGTTTTGCATTTGAATTTTATTCATATTACACACATATGAATACTCATCCAGAGTGACTGACCTGCCAGAAGTCAGAGATGGTGTGAGACAGGGGTCCTTGCGTGGCGATGTACGTTGGCATCCGGGGGTCATGCTCGATCTAGGGGTCACAGAGGGTGAAAGGTCTTCATGGGTCACCTCTTGACGTCCACAATAGAGGACACTATGGACACTGGTGGTCACCGTGGCGACGGCTCCATTCACTGACAAGTGGCATTTACGGGGTGGGTGACTGGATCTGCGTCCCAAACGGCACCCTATTCCCTATATAGTGCACTACTTTTGGCCAGGGCTCATAGGGCTCTGGTCAAAAGTAGTGCACTAGGTAGGGGACAGGGTGCCATTTGGGAAGCATCATGGGAGAGATTCCACAACTAGTGTCCCAGTTTGATCAATGGAGGGTTGGTGTCGGAGACGGCTATAGGGCCATAGGTGGGACCAGGGCCCGTATTCACAAGAGTCTCAGAGTAGGAGTGCTGATATAAGAACAGTTTTGCCTTTTAGATCCTAGATCAGCACTTCTACCCTGAGGCCCTTTTTTAATATAGGGCAGACCAGAGTGATATACAGAGAAGGCTTTGGGTGGGGAGGGATCTATCCCTATGAGCACAAGACGTTGAAAATATGTATTTTTGGTTGCAAAGACATTAAAAATATGTCTTTCAACCAATTTTGCTCACTGGGATGATCTGGGTTGGATAACTAAACAGGTACCATGGCGACAGCGGGCATGGTGACAGCGGGAATCAGGATGACTTCTTACTATGGTGCTGGCGTTGATGTAGTCGGTCCTGGAGGGGTTGTTCTCCGCCTTCATCTTCACCCTGGAGTGATCATCTGCAGAGACACAAAACACAAGTGGTTTAACCTAGGATCATGGAGGCCAGGCTGCCTGGGTGTTCTAGCTGGTAGTGCCGCCTGCCACCCTCAGCACACATGTATACCACAGTCTGTGTGTGTTTAATCTGACCCGCTGTCATTTTGACTGGATCTCCTCCTAACTTCCCTGTCCGTCCTTCACTTTCCTAGCCTGGTCTCAGATCTGTTGACGTGACATGTTTGGCGAGAGAGTGACAAGGAGCATGGCAGCACAAACAGATCTGTGACCAGGCTATCACCTTCTGTTCAAAAAAATCCCCCCGAAAAAAAAATACAAAGAAAAAATCAATCAAGGAGGAGGAGAGGTGGAAGAAAGGAGGGAAGAAGAAAGAGAAGGATGAGGAGGAGAAGAAGGAGGAGAAGAACTTACAGGGCACAGAGTCAGGGCAGCGGTTCTTCTTCAGGTTGGTGTCACTCTGGGCCACAGACATGGTGCTGGGTTCAGCCTGGTAGGAACACAGGGCCTCCCACTCCTTCAGCAGACGGTCCTTGTTCTTCAGGTGGTCCTCCATGTAGGCCTGTGGGTTAGGAGGACTCTCAGTACCAGGGTGACTCTTACTTATAATAACATTACTATCACATTACACTATACTTTTCCTCTGTCAATGACTTCAACTGGACGATTCTGTCTTTTAGAGTCTGACGGTTAATGTGTATTTAATTGTCAGTACCAGACCTGGGTTCAAATAGTATTCGTATTATTTAAGATATTTTGAGGGTTTGATTGAGCCTGCCTGCAGTGCCAGATGGGTAAGATTTGTACTTTTGGGACTAGTCCATTGGTTCCATTGCGCAAAGCAGCTAGACATGTTCAATCAAGTGCAGCAAAGGTATTTGATGGAAAACAAATACTATTTGAACCCAGGTTTTGTCAGAACAGCGGTAGAGAGATCTGAGGCAGGGTAGGAATAAATGAATTAATGAATGAATGGAGTAAATGTTCAGAGTGACAGTGACCAGGATCATGTGACCGGTAGAGATGTCCATGTTGGTCTGCGCTGGCTCCTCGCACCAGGAAGAGGTGCTGCTGTGGGAGCTGGGGCTGGGCTGGGGCGCGTCGCTGGGCTGGGGCGCGTCGCTGAACTGGGACGACACACTGCTCACCCTGGATGTGTCCGTACCTCCTCCTCCTCCACCACCTGCACCTCCTCCACCACCTCCTCCTCCTACACCTGCGCCTCCGGTAGCACCCCCACCGCCCCCCGCTGCTCCTGCCCCCTCCTGACGCCCAAAGGCTCCCCTGGATCCCATGTGCTGACGACACAGGTCCTAACAGAAGGAGAAGGTGATGATGACAGTCAATGTGCTTTCTATGGACACAATGTATTATTCAATCAGGGATCAATATCCCATGAATACATTCATACTGGTACAGTCCTCAGACGTTGGGGTCTGCAGCATGCACAGACCTCTTTCAATACATCTGAAGTGATGTCTCAGACTAGTGAATGCGTGTGCAGGTTGAAAACTAAAGAGTGAATGTGTTCATGTTGAACTGTTTGTGAGGTGTCTATTTAGGGAGTATTACACTGTTTTGACAGTGGTGAAGAGAGGGAGACTGATCAGATAACTGAAAGATATAGTGTGATAGATCTAAGGCTGGACAAACCCATGTAAGATAAGATAAGAAATACTTTATTGATCCCCGAGGGGAAATTGGTTTGTCATATCTCATCGAGCAATGTGCTTTCTGTCTATAGTCTACAGTACTACCACTTGACTTGATCCTGCATGACTGTGAGGTGTCCGTAGACTTACCCCTGTGTGTGTGTGTGTGTGTGTGTACATACCTGGTACTCCTGGTGTGTAACGCTGCCTCCCTCCGGCCCCAGGCCCAGCTTCTCAGACGCCAGGCGGTTGCTGTGGCGACGCAGGCAGACGATGGTCATTGTCGCCACCAGGATCCCGCCAACACAGGCCACGCCCACCATGGTCATGAACACCCAACGGGAGCCATCTCGGACCCGGGTGGCCTGAGGTAAGCCCCGCCCATCAGCTCTCTGTCGAGAGGGGAGGTGACAGAGACCGAAAGAGAGAGAGACAGGGAAAACAAAATTGTTGGTTGAATATCTCACTGATGAGACAATAAAATAGCTTTTGAAAGAGTGTTTATCAGTTAGTGGAAGGATGAGACTCTGGTTCTTTAGTGCCTCACTAATTCTGCAACAGAAGAATTGATCAAAGAATATTGTTGTTGAGGAAGTGGACGAGAGAAAACCAGGGTGGTGTTCATTAGGGAGATTGTTTTTTAAAACAGAGTGAAACGTCCAATGAGAACAGAGATATTTGATTTACGTTGCGAAATGTTTTTCTACATTGTACCGCAACACAAGTACTGTAGCAGCCTGACCACCCAATATATTTTTTGTCTTTCATCTCTCCTCCTCCTCCCTGGTTGCCACGGTTGCCTCTCTTGCCCTCCCGACCTCTTTTTCCTCTTCAGAGGCCCCAGGAATGTGCTGAAGTATTTCGGGGGTGGGGGGTGGAGCTATAGTCTGAGACATTGGGGTGGTGGGTGGAGCTATAGTCTGAGACATTGGGGTGGGGGGTTGAGATATAGTCTGAGACATTGGGGTGGGGGGTGGAGCTATAGTCTGAGACATTGGATTGGGGGTGGAGCTATAGTCTGAGACATTGGGGTGGGGGGTGGAGCTATAGTCTGAGACATTGGGGTGGGGGGTGAGCTATAGTCTGAGACATTGGGGATGGGGGGTGGAGCTATAGTCTGAGACATTTGGGTGGGGATGGAGCTATAGTCTGAGACATTGGATTTGGGGGTGGAGCTATAGTCTGAGATATTGGGGTGGTGGGTGGAGCTATAGTCTGAGACATTGGGGTGAGGGTGGAGCTATAGTCTGAGACATTGGGGTGGGGGGTGGAGCTATAGTCTGAGACATTGGGGTGGGGGGGTGGAGCTATAGTCTGAGACATTGGGGGTGGGGGGGTGGAGCTATAGTCTGAGACATTAGGGTGGGGGTGGAGCTATAGTCCTGAGACATTAGGGTGGGGGGTGGAGCTATAGTCTGAGACATTGGGGTGGGGGTGGAGCTATAGTCTGAGACATTGGGGTGGGGGGGTGGAGCTATAGTCTGAGACATTGGGGTGGGGGGTGGAGCTATAGTCTGAGACATTGGGGTGGGGGTGGAGCTATAGTCTGATAGTCTAAAGAGGCCTGAAAGGAAGAGATGGGAGAGGAAAGGGGGAAGGGGGAAGGTGAAGAAAAGAGAAAGGTGAAGAACAGAATGACCCGTTTCTGGAGACGAGTATTAAGATTTCTCCTGGACATGAGGTGGATTTACCAAACTGACATCAGGGGATGCAGGGGTGAGGGGTAGGTGTAGGAGGGGAGAGACAGAGGAAGGGAGGGGTGGTGTAGGAGGGGAGAGAGGGAGGAAGAGGGATGGGTGTAGGAGGGGGAGGGGGGAGGGGGGAGGGGTAATATCAGGGATAATGTGACTTGGAAGAGGTGAAGACATGAGGTAAGAGGGAGAGTTGAGTAAAAGAAGGCCTGAACTATCCACACTGCTCTGTCTATCTACTGCTCTGTCTATCTACTGCTCTGTCTATCTACTGCTCTGTCTATCTACTGCTCTGTCTCTATCTACTGCTCTGTCTATCTACTGCTCTCTCTACTACTGCTTGTCTACTCTGTCTCTCTGCTCCTATTGCTGCACCTGGTCTCTCTTGCTCCTATCTGAGCTGCCTCTGTCTTCTGATTGCCTCCTATCTGACTGCACCTCTTGGTCTCTCTATGCCTCCTATCTGAGCTGCAACCTTTGGTCTCTCTGTTGCTCTATTCTGACCTCTTGGTCTCACCTCTTGGTGCCCTTTGCCTCCTATCTGAGCTGCAACCTCTTGGTCTCTCTGTTGCCTCCTATCTGAGCTGCAACCTCTTGGTCTCTCTGTTGCCTCCTATCTGAGCTGCAACCTCTTGGTCTCTCTGTTGCCTCCTATCTGAGCTGCAAACTCCAGATCATTCCATTACTGCAGACATTGACTTCTGTCACTGTGGCAAGTGTCTTAACTCTCACTGTTTGTTGTTGCCAAAAGTGATATGCAACTTCATTCATCACTTGTATTGTGAGTGATGCAAACAGCAAACAGTTAGCAAACATAAAGGCCTAAATTTTTTCTTCTTCTCACTAAATAAAAATGGAATTGACAACTTAGATTCAAAGGGATTTAAACTTAGACTCCACACATTGGTACATTTGTATGCGTCTTATTATTCCCAGTTTCAGACTTCCAAGTGAAATATAATGGACATTATTGTAGTATTCTTATAATTCAAGAGAGGAGAGGTTACAAATGTGAAATTATACAAAATGCAAACAAGATACAGTTGCAATGTGGACCAACACTAATTACTCTAACCCCGATATAGGTCCCCTTAAAATTTTAATTTATTAATATTGATAGACGTGTCCTCAAGATCCATTGCTTTGGTCTGAAGTAGAGTAGGCCAACCTGGATAGAGACAATGGAGGATCTCCGTGAACTTTCCAGGGAGTTGGTTAGAGACATTTTAAACTTAGCAGAGGATGTAGAAGCAGGACCTGCTGACATTATCCGGAATTGATTTGTCTTGGCTTGATGCAGAGGGTAACCAATCAGGCGTTAGGTTCCGCCTACCAACTTTTGATGGGTCAGTTTGACAGTTTTAAGTAATTCAGGAAGCACTCCAACGCAGGACCATGAAATGTAAATGTAAATAGTGAAATTATTATATATGTATTTTACATAAAATGAATCGGTATTTGAATTAATTAATGACACATTTAATAACACATTTATGTATTTAATTCTAATTTTAATTAATTAATGACACATTTAAGTAATTATTTAATGGTGTATTTATTTATTTAATTGTGGCACTTTTAGTCCTCCATATCAAACAGCTTGAATTCTATAAATGTGTTATTTGCAGTACGTTCTTGAATATGTTCTTAAAATCTTCATTATGATTAAATACCAAATCATAATCTTTGACAACGAATCATACGACAATCCCACAAACACCACGCGGGCTGAGCATCTCATAGAAGTGATTAGTCTATGCAGACAGCATCTGATGAAAAAGTCTATCAATAAAATGTCGTTAGGCTAACCTAAAAGATAACATTAATGCGTAATCAATTTACAAATGGCAACTAAATAGTAGACATATTTGAACTGGAAATAAATAGGACTATTAGAGAATCAAATTAGGCCTATAAGAAATACAATTCGAGACTAGGGCCCATAATAAGGAATAACTCTAGACAAATCGAAATGTTGGTAGCCATTCAAAAGTATGAATAGCCTATTATTAGGCTAAATATCAGTGACACTCACCCAACATCCACCGTCCGTGAAAGAAAGACGACTTGACTGTGATAACGCACAAGAGAAATGATGATCTGTCTCTTGTTTCCATAATGCGTTTATAAAGTGGAGGATAGCGCATCATTTGATTGAATTTTGGCGGCAGCGTTACCTCCTAGCTCAGGCCCAGGGACGATATGAGACGACCAAGAGAGGAGTGGTGCGCGTGACCAATGTGAATTAAAGAGACAGGCGTGTCTTTCGGGAGCGCGCGCGGTTCGTCCGACCGCAAAATACGTCGTCATATCAAAGGATTTTAGCCATGAAGGCATTCCAGGCAGGGAGAAAAAGTTTGGTTGTGAAAGTACACAGAAGGACGCACAGAATATTGATGATGAATGCCAATAGATTTTAACGCCAAGAGATCTCTCTCTCTCTCTCTCTCTCTCTCTCTCTCTCTTCACACACACACATGCAGCACAACATGCTCTTACCTCACCAACACCTGTCTGCAGGATCTTCAGATCAGTTTCAGACTCCAGAAAGGTCTTCTCTGCAACTGAGTAAATTACAAACCAAAAGAAAATAGTTGCCATCTTGCGAAAAAGTAATATTCTTGCTATTATATATTAAACAGAGTGGCTCAAAAATCCCCTTTACACCCCTCTCTCACTTTCTGTCCCAAGTTGTGTGTGTGTGTAGATATTGGCTTGGTGGTTTACACAGAGCAGGGGGACATTGGGTCAATCTGACCCCGTCTGACCCCAGAAACAGGTCCACATACCGGCTTTCTCTGCCACGTCTTCAGCACTCAGGTTCTGGCTGTTGGGCCGGACACGGAAGGTCAGGGCAGGCCCCACCACACTGTAGAGAGACAGACAGGAACATTCCATCAAACTATTGATTGATATAACTGGGGCCGGGAGAGGGAGAGAGAGAGAGGGGTGGTGGTATGGAGGTAGGAGCAGGAGGACTGGGGGGTGGGGGAAGCCTGAAGGGGTATCCCTAAATTTCGGGTGTGAATAAGCCCCAACAACGACTACACCTACCACCTTGCTCTGTCCTCACTCTGACCACCACTGCAATGCATTGTGGGAAAAGGTCGCACAGAGGGACACTCAGGCCTTTTCTCAATTGGATTTCCTCAACTCCTGCGTCCTCTCACCTCCGTTCTGCCTCACCTCCTTTTGAAAAAGGTCAAAGGTAATCGAGGAGAGGCGGCGAGGAGAGGGAAAGTGGACGAAAATGCGCTTGTATGAAATGAGACTCTCCTTCTCCACTCAGGCTACTGACGTTTACAGGGTGGATCCCCAAATAAATGTGTAAAGTGATAAAAACAAACTAAGTTAGTTGTGCAATACATTTGATAAAACGATAAGTAGCATATTGTTTTTAAACGTATGCATGGTTTTCTCCTCCACCAAAACAAAAGCTGATTCAGAAGGGTTGTGGCAGATTTCTCAGGCAGGATCCAAATGATTATCCTCGATGAAAGGTGGCTATCGAGGAGGGGAGGACATTCTTCCGTTCGCCTACTAACTCATTTACATTTCCTTGACCACTCGACCACTTATCAGTTTCCGGGTCACGCAGGAGAGAGGACGGAGGAGAGAGGACGGAGGAGAGAGGACGGAGGAGAGAAGACGGAGGAGAGAGGGTGTAGGACGGACTTTTGCCCAAATGAGAAAAGGCCAGAGGGAGCTCCACCTCCCCGCCACACCCAATTTTGAGGTCAGGGGTCAAGCAGTAGAGGAATGGAGCATGTTGACGTTGATCATAGAAGTATACATTCTATTTCTATGATATGAGGCAGGGGGCAGGGTCTCTAAAGGTCAGGAGGTCGATCTGCTGGGATGTTGTGAATCTGGGGGTGCATCCCAATAATATTTCCTTTTTCCTGAAGTGTGCACTCGTTCAATACTTCACACAAATCTGAAAGCATTGGATTGGTGAAGGTATGTGCTAGTGGGAGTTTCCACAATATTTATTAAACCAGTAATTTCCTTTCAAATGAATGAAGGGAAGTGAACAAGTACACACTTTGGGAGGAAGGAGATATCATTGGGACCTGAGCTGAGATGCCCCTCCCCCTACTATACTGATATCTCCTGATCCTCTCATTTTACATGAATACGTTTATTTGACAATCAGGGACAATGCACATTTATCAACATTTCTGTAAATGTGTCAGATTTAACCAGCCGACTAATTATAATCTGCTAATTATCAATTAGCAGCCAGCTAATTGTCATCTCTCCTCATTGGACCAGTGGGCCTCTATGCCTATAGCCTACCTGATGTTGATGAAAGAGCCAGTGGAGAGGTGGATCCTCTCAGCCAGGAGCCCCAGCAGACGCACCCCATCGTACAGACTGAGGGGGCTGTGGAGATATACACACGCATTCATACACGCGGACACACTCATACACACAGATACACTCATACACTACACAGATACACACAGATACACTACACAGATACACACAGATACACTCATACACACAGATACACTCATACACACTCATACACACGGATATACACACGGATACACACAGATACACTCATACACACAGATACACACAGATACACACAGATACACTCATACACACAGATACACTCATACACACGGATATACACTCATAAACACGGATACACACAGATACACTCATACACACGGATACACACAGATACACTCATACACACAGATACACTCATACACACTCATACACACAGATACACTCATACACACAGATACACTCATACACACAGATACACTCATACACACAGATACACTCATACACACAGATACACTCATACACACAGATACACTCATACACACAGATACACTCATACACACAGATACACTTATACACACAGATACACACACAGAAGCTCAAACGCACACATTCACACACAGAGAACTGAGAGAAAGCAAAAGCACACACACACACACGCACGCTTACATACACACGCCATGTACACTCAAAGATTCTGAGACAGACAGATATACGCTCTGAGACAGATACGTAGACAGATATACGCTCATACACCAACATTCCTGTGTTTATGAACATTAAGGTTAGGAGATGAATGTAACCTTAGGTTAGTGACGATGTAGCCGTATTCCTCCTTCACTTGTGTGGCCCCTCCTGGTGGCTCTTTATTCCCCTGCTTCTCTGTTTCCACCGGGGCCCCTGGCTCCTTCACACTGTCTCCCTCTGTGGCCAGAGGGGCCCCCACGGTGGGAGGGTTATCCTGGGAGACTTGGGGCCCAGGGGGCTTGGCAGGAAGGGAGGTGGGGGCCCCCAGCATGGAAGCTTTGTCCACCTTGTGTGTCATGGCCCCCTCAGTGATCTGAAGAGGAGGAACCAGACACCTTAACATTCTCCATCCATTATTGTAGGATTTGATAAATACATGCTTCATTTGAATATTACTCCAGGATATGTAAAATAGACCACTGATTTCCTCAACTTGTGGATGTTCTGCCACCTACTGTTTGTTAAATGCAATAACAACCAGAAAACCTACAGTGAGGGAAAAAAGTATTTGATCCCCTACTGATTTTGTACATTTGCCCACTGACAAAGACATGATCAGTCTATAATTTTAATGGTAGGTTTATTTGAACAGTGAGAGACAGAATAACAACAAAAAAATCCAGAAAAAACGCATGTAAAAAATGTTATAAATTGATTTGCATTTTAATGAGGGAAATAAGTATTTGACCCCTCTGCAAAACATGACTTAGTACTTGGTGGCAAAACCCGTTTGGCAATCACAGAGGTCAGACATTTCTTGTAGTTGGCCACCAGGTTTGCACACATCTCAGGAGGGATTTTGTCCCACTCCTCTTTGCAGATCTTCTCCAAGTCATTAAGGTTTCGAGGCTGACATTTGGCAACTCAAACCTTCAGCTCCCTCCACAGATTTTCTAAGGGATTAAGGTCTGGAGACTGGCTAGGCCACTCCAGGACCTTAATGTGCTTCTTCTTGAGCCACTCCTTTGTTGCCTTGGCCGTGTGTTTTGGGTCATTGTCATGCTGGAATACCCATCCACGACCCATTTTCAATGCCCTGGCTGAGGGAAGGAGGTTCTCGCCCAAGATTTGACGGTACATGGCCCCGATCATCGTCCCTTTGATGCGGTGAAGTTGTCCTGTCTGTTAGCAGAAAAACACCCCCAAAGCATAATGTTTCCACCTCCATGTTTGACGGTGGGGATGGTGTTCTTGGGGTCATAGGCAGCATTCCTCCTCCTCCAAACACGGCGAGTTGAGTTGATGCCAAAGAGCTCAATTTTGGTCTCATCTGACCACAACACTTTCACCCAGTTCTCCTCTGAATCATTCAGATGTTCATTGGCAAACTTCAGACGGGCCTGTATATGTGCTTTCTTGAGCAGGGGGACCTTGCGGGCGCTGCAGGATTTCAGTCCTTCACGGCGTAGTGTGTTACCAATTGTTTTCTTGGTGACTATGGTCCCAGCTGCCTTGAGATCATTGACAAGATCCTCCCGTGTAGTTCTGGGTTGATTCCTCACCGTTCTCATGATCATTGCAACTCCACAAGGTGAGATCTTGCATGGAGCCCCAGGCCGAGGGAGATTGACAGTTCTTTTGTGTTTCTTCCATTTGCGAATAATCGCACCAACTGTTGTCACCTTCTCACCAAGCTGCTTGGCGATGGTCTTGTAGCCCATTCCAGCCTTGTGTAGGTCTACAATCTTGTCCCTGACATCCTTGGAGAGCTCTTTGGTCTTGGCCATGGTGGAGAGTTTGGAATCTGATTGATTGATTGCTTCTGTGGACAGGTGTCTTTTATACAGGTAACAAGCTGAGATTAGGAGCACTCCCTTTAAGAGTGTGCTCCTAATCTCAGCTCGTTACCTGTATAAAAGACACCTGGGAGCCAAAAATCTTTCTGATTGAGAGGGGGTCAAATACTTATTCCCTCATTAAAATGCAAATCAATTTATAACATTTTTGTCATGCGTTTTTCTGGATTGGGCAAACGTACAAAATCAGCAGGGGATCAAATACTTTTTTCCCTCACTGTACTTATTGCCATTCAACATTTACTGTAAATGCTATTTACATTGTATAAAAAGCTAAAAAAAAACATTTCAAATGGTTAAATACACAACACATATAAACCAAGAGCAATACTTGAATTTCTAGAATACTAGACTGTTTTATCTCAACTTACCTTCTTACGTGTGGCAGCACTGTTCCGGTATTTATCTGAAAAGCAAGACTCTCATTACCGGACACACAGATAATAATTGTTTCAGTATCTGTAATTGTCACAGTATAATCGTCACAGTATAATCCCACCACAAAATGTCACTTTTTTTCAGTATCAATATTGGGCCATGCCATTTTGTATAAAGATACTGCAGTTATTCCCGCAGTGTATTGTGGTTCACAACTTGAAGTCCTTTATTATATCACGGTATCTCATTTAATGAATGACACTAGTGACATATACAGTAGTCTTGTCTTTTGAGACCACAACTTGGAAGGGTCTTTCTGTGTGATGAAAAGACTGTGATTTCAGACAACATTTCAGTAAGGTGTTTGCTGGAAAGGGCTAGCCCAGTGAATTAGGTCTGGTGCTTTGACAGGGTTTGGCTGCATGCCTCCGCTCTGACAAACCTGCTGTGTCGGTGACTACGTCAGCAGCACTCTCCATCTGCAGTTGTTTCAGTGCTGCAGGCAGGTTGGCCAGCTGTGGAGGGGTTAAGTCCTTCATATCGATGCCATAGTGGTCCAGGAGCAGAGCCAGTTTCTGCAGGGACTCATCTGAACAGACAGACAGGGTTAGAGGTCAGAGGTCAACAGGCAGGTAATGAAACAAGTCCAGACAGGCAAGGCATGAGTCAGCCAGTGTCTCAGCCACAGTGAGCAAGAACACTCCAGACAGATCTCCCATAGACATACACACACACACGTACACACGTACACACACACAACCCCCAAAACCCCCACCCCCACCACACACACACTGACTGCCACACACACTCACCATCCAACCCAGCCAGCGATCCATAGTCCTTCTGAGTTTTCCTCTGCGTCTGTTCCTGCTGCTGATGCTTGTGGACCTCCACGTCCTGCTGGGAAACGTAGTCCTCTGCGTAGTCCAGAGGGAAGTCCAGGTCCTCGTACAAGGGAGAGGTAGAGAGCGGTGCTGCTGCCCCACGGTGGCGGGAGGCCGGCTGGGCGGGGGAGGAGAGGTACAGGGAGACCAGGTCCTGGAGCACCTGGCGGTCTCGGTCCTGGGGGCGTGACCCTTTACCCCCGGAGCCAGAAGAGGGGCGGGGGAAACTGCCCCCATCCAGAGAGTTAAGAGAGCGCTCCTCGTCGTCCTGGTAATCCATACTGCTGCTTATTAAACCCATAAACAGACACAGAGATGCCCTCAGGGAAAAGGAAATGATACAATCTACTGTAGAGATGTGAAGTGTATTTACATCATACTACTCATAGTTGTATGGTATCTATCTACTGTATATACATTCTTACACACATATACTGTATGTGGTAATAGCAGTTCTGTGTGTATGTGTGTGTGTGTGTGTGTGTGTGTGTGTGTGCGTGTGTGTGTGTGTGTGTGTGTGTGTGTGTGTGTGTGTGTGTGTGTGTGTGTGTGTGTGTGTGTGTGTGTGTGTGTGTGTGTGTGTGTGTGTGTGTGTGTGTGTGTGTGTGTGTGTGTGTGTGTGTGTGTGTGTGTGTGTGTGTGTGTGTGTGTGTGTGTGTGTGTGTCCGTCCATTCCCACCTGGCGGTAGGTGTAAGGCTCCAGAGTTTGCATGTGGAGGGACTGGGAGGCCTGGGGGGTCTCCACGATCATGTAGTCCAGGTAGCGCTGCATCAGATCTGGGTTGGGATCGTTCCCTTGAGCCTTGGTCCTGGAGCTGGGAGGATACTGCATCTTGGAAAGAGGGGCATTCTGCACAGGTTCTGAGGACCTGAGAGATACAGTATGAATGGAGAATATCAGAATAAGGCCAACCCTTAGCACTTGTAGACCCTCATAGGGAACATAGCTCCCTCACTCACAAGAACTCAACTTCCAAGTCATCCTGCACCTGTCTGAGGATGGCTTCCCTCTAGTTGCAGGAGTATGTGACTCCAGGGCCACTTTCTCTAACAACATTTTAGACTGACTTAGACTACTTGTGGTCTATGTCAGACTCTCAGTGACAGTGACTTACTGTCTGGTTTGGTCACTCATCAATGGAACCACAATGGAAATAAATATCTGAATGAATTGTGCTATCCCGGTCACGTTGAAAAATATAGATGTACTGTGTATATATGTTTTTAACTGACAGATAAAACCAACCAATCAATCAACTACCAAGGGAAGAGAGGGAAGCAGAGGCTGTGGCCTGTCCCTCATAGACTGGCATTTAAACATCCCTTCTCTAAACTCAAAGATCTGGTTCTGTGGTATTCTAAAAGTCTCTTCCTAATCTCATAACCTTTCCTGGCTGCTATTACAATACAATTTCCCCATTGAGTCACAGACCTTCCTGTGAAAATCTGCAGAAAATAAAATGAATAGATGTAATTATAGATCTGGTTTTAATTATAGTCAACAGAGCAGGAGACTCACTGAGATGAGGGGTTGTCATGACGTCCAGACAGGGGGCGGGTCAGTAAAACACGGCTCAGCTCCTTGCCAATGACGTACTGGGTGATGTCATCCTGCCAGGACAATCCTATACAACCATAGGCCGATACAGATGTCAATCACAGTAGTCAAAGATGTAATCTGGTAACTTGAGGAGTGTGACCTTATAGAGACCTCAACCCTCAGCCCTTAGCCCTGTTGCCGTGGTAGCAGATGAGACCTGAGTATCTGTTCATTATCTTAACCACCATCACTAAGGTAACAGTTCACTTTTACAACCACACTCTGAACCTAACAACCTTTGTGGGAATGGGTTAGTGAGTATGAATGGAGTATGGATATGGCTACGTGTGTGGCTACGTGTGTGGCTACGTGTGTGGCTACGTGTGTGTGTCTTTAATCACCTTGCATCATCAGTTCCTTGAGCACTTCCTGTAGTCTGTGCAGCACAGGCACTGACACCTCATACAGAACCCTCTCCTGCTGGGGCAGCAGACACTGGCCAAATAGCCCATCTACAGAGAACAGAGAACACATCAGAACACAACAGAACCCTCTCCTGATGGGGCAGCAGACTGGCAAAATAGCCCATCTACAGAGAACAGAGAACACATCAGAACACAACCGAACCCTCTCCTGATGGGGCAGCAGACTGGCCAAATAGCCCATCTACAGAGAACAGAGAACACATCAGAACACATCAGAACCCTCTCCTGCTGGGGCAGCAGACTGGCCAAATAGCCCATCTACAGAGAACAGAGAACACATCAGAACACATCAGAACCCTCTCCTGCTGGGGCAGCAGACTGGCCAAATAGCCCATCTACAGAGAACAGAGAACACATCAGAACACAACCGAACCCTCTCCTGCTGGGGCAGCAGACTGGCCAAATAGCCCATCTACAGAGAACACATCAGAACACATCAGAACCCTCTCCTGATGGGGCAGCAGACTGGCCAAATAGCCCATCTACAGAGAACAGAGAACACATCAGAACACACACAAAGGCATGCAGGCACACAAACACACGTATGCACAACTATGGTGATGTTTGTGTGAGTGGGTCTCGATGAGTCATCGCCCAGCTCTATTCTATATATATATATATATATATATATATATATATATATATATATATATATATATATATATATATCTCTCTCAACATACACATGGGGGAGACATTGCTGTCAGCCGGGTGATGTCACTGTTGCCATGGAAATGGTTGGAAAGAGACGTGATTGGTTAAGAGCAGGTTGACGGCGAGAGGCCTTGTGTTTACACACTGACGCTCAGAGTGCCTCATCGTGCATGAAGGCACACGCTCACACACGCTCACACACACTCGCACTCACACACATGCAGTTCTGTACACATAAATCAGGAAACACATGAAAACCGTTGAGTTCATTGAGTATGAATAATGTAGTATTTCCTATGAGACAGTAGACAGTAGAACACCTGCCCATCACAACAGCTGAACAATTTAACATCATTATGTGCATGAAGTCCCAAATGGCACCCTATTCCCTATATAGTGCACTACTTTTGACCAGGGTCCATAGAAAAGGGTGCCATTTAGGATGCACCCTGGAACTGGGGAGCAAATACCATTTAAAAACACTGGCTGTGACTGGTTACAGATTAAACAACAAAGTCCAAGAGACAAGAGGGATGAATGAAAGAGGGATGAATACAGGAGGGATGAATACAGGAGGGATGAATACAAGAGGGATGAATAAAGGAGAGATGAATACAGGAGGGATGAATAAAGGAGGGATGAATACAGGAGGGATGAATACAAGAGGGATGAATAAAGGAGAGATGAATACAGGAGGGATGAATACAGGAGGGATGAATAAAGGAGGGATGAATACAGGAGGGATGAATACAGGAGGGATGAATAAAGGAGGGATGAATACAGGAGGGATGAATACAGGAGGTATGAATACAGGAGGGATAAATACAGGAGGGATGACATAAGGAGGAGGAGGGAAGGAAAGAGATACAGGGTTCAATGTGTGCTATAGGTTTTACTCTTAGTGGACCGTTTGTTTGAATACAGGGTGTCAAACTCTAGTCCTCCAACACAGAGAGGAAGAGGCCAAACGAGAGGTTTTACTCCATCCAAATCTTTCCACGAAAATACATTTTTGCATGGAGGTCAATGAGAGAATGTGGAATTTGCTCAACCCATTTTTTTATTGCTAATTTGCTAAGTGAGGCTTATTTGATCTTATAGAAGTTTCGTAATGGTTACGTTGTTGCGGATGCACTGATATACAGCACATTCGGAAAATATTCAGACCCCTTGACTTTTTTCACATTTTGTTACGTTACAGCCTTATTCTAAAATGTATTCAGTAATTTTTTCCCCTCATCAATCTACACATAATACCCCATAATGACAAAGCAAAAACAGGTTTTTAGAAATGTTTGCACATTTATTAGAAATAAAAAACGTAAATATTACATTTACATAAGCATTCACACCCTTTATTCAGTACTTTGCTGAAGCACCTTTGGCAGCGATTACAGCCTCGAGTCTTCTTGGGTATGACGCTACAAGCTTGGCACACCTGTATTTGGGGAGTTTCTCCCATTCTTCTCTGCAGATCCTCTCAAGCTCTGTTGGTTGGATGGGGAGCGTCGCTGCACAGCTATTTTCAGGTCTCTCCAGAGATGTTAGATCGGGTTCAAGTCCGGGCTCAGGTTGGGCTACTCAAGGACATTCAGAGACTTGTCCCGAAGCCACTCCTGCGTTGTCTTGGCTCTGTGCTTAGGGTCGTTGTCCTGTTGGAAGGTGAACCTTCACCCCAGTCTGAAGTCTGGAGCAGGTTTTCATCAAGGATCTCTCTGTACTTTGCTCTGTTCATCTTTCCCTCGATCCTGACTAGTCTCCCAGTCCCTGCCACTGAAAAACATCCCCACAGCATGATGCTGCCACCACCATGCTTCACCGTAGGGATGGTGCCAGGTTTCCTCCAGACATGATGCTTGGCATTCAGGCCAAAGAGTTCAATCTTGGTTTCATCAGACCAGAGAATCTTGTTTCTCATGGTCAGAGTCCTTTAGGTGCCTTTTGGCAAACTCCAAGTGGGCTGTCATGTGCCTTTTACTGAGGAGTGGCTTCCGTCTGGCCACTCTACCATAAAGGCCTGATTGGTGGAGTGCTGCAGAGATGGTTGTCCTTCTGGAAGGTTCTCCCATCTCCACAGAGGAACTCTGGAGTTCTTTCAGTGACCATCAGGTTCTTGGTCACCTCCCTGACCAAGGCCCTTCTCTCCCGATTGCTCAGTTTGGCAGGAAGAGTCTTGGTGGTTCCAAACTTCTTCCATTTAAGAATGGTGGAGGCCACTGTGTTCTTGGGGACCTTCAATGCTGCAGACATTTTCTGGTACCCTTCCCCAGATCTGTGTCTCGAGACAATCCTGTCTCAGAGCTCAACTGTGGGACCTTATATAAACAGGTGTGCCTTTCCAAATCATGTCCAATCAATTCAATTTACCACAGGTGGACTCCAATCAAGTTGTAGAAACATCTCAAGGATGATCAATGGAAACAGGATGCACCTGAGCTCAATTTCGAGTCTCATAGCAAAGGGTCTGAATACTTATGTAAATAAGGTATTTCTGTTTTCTATTTTTAATACATTTGCAAAAATGTCAAAAAAAACTATTTCACTTTGTCATTATGGGGTATTGTGTGTAGATTGATTAGAATAAGGCTGAAGCGTAACAAAATGTGGAAAAAGTCAAGGGGTCTGAATACTTTCCGAATGCACTGTAAGTGGATGCACGTGGAATTTTGGCAACTTTATATGGAGTTGTGCCTGTTGTTCACAAGCATATCTGTCATTGGCTAGAATAGGGCCACCTGATCTCACCTCCTCCTGCCTGCCTTCCATATTTGAGGACATGTATTTCCATTGTAAGAGCGGTCACTCAACCATCTTGTCAATATAATAGAAAATCTTTGTCAAGCGTCAAAGTCTCTTCCTGTTTCCATTTCAACTTGGCACTTATTGATCAATTACTGTTACTGATTGGCTGGAGGCTACACACCTGATTTCCCAGGTCTAGACCACAGACTGATTGGACATTTGTGTAGCCTCCAGCCAATCAGTAACAGTTTAAATGGAAACAGGAAGAGACTACTAAAGAACTGTCAACAACTCCTGGAGTGTGTGTCTGGTGACAGTGAGATGATTGTATAGTGAGACGTTGTGAAGAAGATGGGTTAGATAGAGAGATGGTGTTATCATGTCATACTGACCATCTGAGCAGTGCTGGTCTCTGGGGCAGAGCTTCTTCTCAAACAGACAGCCTGAGAAGCACACGGAGAGGGGGAGGAGAAAGAGAGAGAGAGAGAGAGAGGGGAGGGAGGAATAGAGAGAGAGGGAGAGAGAGAGAGAGATGAAGAGTGTGTGTGAGAGAGACATTTTCTATTATTTCAGATTTTCTGGCAATTGACAATATGTAGTTATGAATGTCATGACAATAATGTACCCTTGAATTAAATTGGGGGGATGGATAAGAGGAAGAGACAGAGAGAGAAAGAGAGAGAGAGAGAGCAGGGGGTTGTGTTGGATGCCAGACCGTGTGTGTGTGCATGTGGATGTGTTTAACTATACTTGTGGGGACCAGAAGTCCCCACAACAATAGTAAACCAAGAAAATGTTTACCAACTGGGGACAATTTGTTGGTTCCCACAAGGCCAAATGCTATATCTAGGGGGTTTAGGGTTAAGGTTAGAATTAGTGTTAGGGTTAGAATTAGGTTTAGGGTTAGGAGCTGGGGTTAGGGTTAGGAGCTAGGAGCTAGGAGCTAGGAGCTAGGGTTAAGTTTAGAGTTAGGGTTAAGGTTAGGTTTTTGGGTTAGGGAAAATAGGATTTTGAATGGGACTGAATTGTTTTCCCCCACAAGGTTAGCTGTGTAAGACTATGTGTGTGTGTGTGTGTTTTTTTGTGTGTGTGTGTGTGTGTGTGTGTGTGTGTGTGTGTGCATTTGAAGGAGGTTATAGGTGACTTTTACAGAGCTCCAATCTGCTTGGGGAGGAAACAAGGCCAGATGTGACACAACACGGCTGTACACACTGTGTGTGAGTGTGAGTGTGTGTGTGTGCGTGTGTATTCATGATTGTGTGTGTACTGTATTACAAAAACAGAAACTGGAGACAGACTGGCCTAGAGGGCTGTCTCTCTGTGGGAAAAACAACATCAATATGATTCCCCAGACACAAAGACAAGATCACAGAGCATGTCTCTCCGTATACCAGAAATAAAACTCTGCAAAAACAGAAACTGCATTTATTTTCAGCAAACTGAACTTAAATATTTGTATGAACATAACAAGATTCAACAACTGAGACATAAACTGAACAAGTTCCACAGACATGTGACTAACAGAACAAAGGGAGGGGGTCAAAATGAAAAGTAACAGTCAGTATCTGGTGTGTGTGGCCATCAGCTGCTTTAAGTACTGCAGTGCATCTCCTCCTCATGGACTGCACCAGATTTGCCAGTTCTTGCTGTGAGATGTTACCCCACTCTTCCACCAAGGCACCTGCAAGTTCCTGGACATTTCTGGGGGGAATGGCCCTAGCCCTCACCCTCCGATCCTACAGGTCCCAGACGTGCTCAATGGGATTGAGATCCGGGCTCTTCGCTGGCCATGGCAGAACACTGACATTCCTGTCTTGCAGGAAATCACGCACAGAACGAGCAGTATGGCTGGTGTCATGTCAGGATGTGCCTGCAGGAGGGGTACCACATGAGGGAGGAGGGTGTCTTCCCTGTAACGCACAGCGTTGAGATTGCCTGCAATGACAACAAGCTCAGTCCGATGATGCTGTGACACACCGCCTCAGACCATGACGGACCCTCCACCTCCAAATCGATCCCGCTCCAGAGTACAGGCCTCGGTGTAATGCTCATTCCTTCGACGATGAACGCGAATCCGACCATCACCCCTGGTGAGACAAAACCGCGACTCGTCAGTGAAGAGCACTTTTTGCCAGTCCTGTCTGGTCCAGCGACGGTGGGTTTGTGCCCATAGGTGACGTTGTTGCCGGTGATGTCTGGTGAAGACCTGCCTTACAACAGGCCTACAAGCCCTCTGTCCAGCCTCTCTCAGCCTATTGCGGACAGTCTGAGCACTGATAGAGGGATTGTGCATTCCTGGTGTAACTCTGGCAGTTCTTGTTGCCATCCTGTACCTGTCCCGCAGGTGTGATGTTCGGATGTACCGATCCTGTGCAGGTGTTGTTACACGTGGTCTGCCACTGCGAGGACAATAAGCTGTCCGTCCTGTCTCCCTGTAGCGCTGTCTTAGGCGTCTCACAGTACGGACATTGCAATTTATTGCCCTGGCCACATCTGCAGTCCTCATGCCTCCTTGCAGCATGCCTAAGGCACGTTCACGCAGATGAGCAGGGACCCTGGGCATCTTTCTTTTGGTGTTTTTCAGAGTCAGTAGAAAGGCCTCTTTAGTGTCCTAAGTTTTCATAACTGTGACCTTAATTGCCTACCGTCTGTAAGCTGTTAGTGTTTTAACGACCGTCCCACAGGTGCATGTTCATTAATTGTTTATGGTTCATTGAACAAGCATGGGAAACAGTGTTTAAACCCTTTACAATGAAGATCTGTGAAGTGATTTGGATTTGTATGAATTATCTTTGAAAGACAGGGTCCTGAAAAAGGGACATTTCTTTTTTTTGCTGAGTTTAGTATTAGTTGTCTTACAAATATTTAAGCTGCATTTGATTGAGCTTGCCTGGCGCCGAGCAACGGAACCAATGGAATAGTTCCAGTGGTGCAAGCCCCACCCATCTGACACTTCAGGCAGGCTCAATCAAAGGCTCAAAGTATTTGAAAGAAGTCAGATACTATTTGAATCCACGTCTGGATATATCTGCCATATGATGACTAATACACACTCTATCCCTCCCTCTCTCCACTGGCCCCTCTCTCCACTGGCCCCTCTCTCCACTGGCCCCTCTCTCCACTGGCCCCTCTCTCCACTGGCCCCTCTCTTCACTGGCCCCTCTCTCCACTGGCCCCTCTCTCCACTGGCCCCTCTCTCCACTGGCCCCTCTCTCCACTGGCCCCTCTCTCCACTGGCCCCTCTCTTCACTGGCCCCTCTCTCCACTGGCTCCTCTCTCCACTGGCCCCTCTCTCCACTGGCTCCTCTCTCCACTGGCCCCTCTCTTCACTGGCCCCTCTCTTCACTGGCCCCTCTCTCCACTGGCCCCTCTCTTCACTGGCCCCTCTCTTCACTGGCCCCTCTCTCCACTGGCCCCTCTCTCCACTGGCCCCTCTCTCCACTGGCCCCTCTCTCCACTGGCCCCTCTCTCCACTGGCCCCTCTCTCCACTGGCCCCTCTCTTCCTCTGTCCATCCTCCTCTCATCCCCTGACATCTCCGTCTGTCTGCAGCAGTTGCAGGGGAGATTCCTGCCACGCTAGAATCCATCACAGACTGGACAAACCACTAGTGCACTGCCCCCGAGCCCCAAGGACATGTCAATCAATCAACCGCACACAAAATACAGACTATCGATCCCACTAGGGCTACGCCATAGTAAATCACTTGTTTTAGCAATGAGTGTTGCTGTATCCTGCATCTAAGAGAATATACTTTGGCCCTGTATTCTAGATCTATTCTTGACTGTTGTACAGTACTGTATTGTGTCACGTATTTTGCAACGACTCTCCATATCCTGTCTGTTGGTGTGACCTTGTGATGTCATCTATGGGAATGTCCATTGTGTTCTACCTCAAGAAACTCAAGATGTGAAATAAGAGCAATAAAGTGAAGTGAACTGGGTTGTTCACATAGCAACAGTCATTTGATCAAACTGCGTGGCATAATTCTCTGGACAGGTTTATTTTATTTCAGTGTTGTATACATGCATGAGTCAGAGCACCATAAAGAAAAGATTTCCAAACGACAAGGACACAATTATCACCTTGGATGTTTCCACCCCACACACACTATTATAAATTGAATCCCAGAGTTAAACTCAGTCACATGACTGGGTGTTTCCTGTTCTTTCTCCATGGTGCTCTGAGTCTCTCTCTCTCTCTCTCTCTCATTATATGGATTATAATTAATTTACATTTTTGTAGGGGTTGATACATTTTCTGTTAGTGCAAATCAAGTCGAAATTACAAACTTTAGAAGCCTTTTAAAACCTTGAATACACTACAATTTGCAGGATAAATCACTGCGACAACAGAGTAATCAAATTAAGATAGCAGATCTGTACCACTGGGAGTCAGGGCCTGGACAGAGGAAGTGGGGGAGCACTCTACGACACAAGGGGCTATTTTTAACATGTTACTGCAACTGCAATCATATCCTTTCCATCTGAAATGGCAATAAAATAATGGGCTATAAGTACAGGGATAGAGTGAGGACAGACACAGCATGTTGAGTTGAATAATGGTGAGTCTGTTGTGTGGCTTTGAGTCCATTTGAATTCTCGTTTATAGCTTCAGATAACAGAGTCTGCATCTCAAATGGTACCCTATTCCCTATGGGCCCTGGTCGAAAGTAGTGCACTATCTAGGGAATAGGGTACCCTTTGGGATGCAGCCTTATATTTAACAGATTTAAAGGGTAATCTACAGTTCCTACATCCATTTTTGGACTTATAAATGAATGATATGTACCCATTGATTCTTGAAGACTATAACTTATAAATGCCTCATGAGAATGTTGTACCCCATCAGAATCCATAATGATAAGCTTGATTTACTCCAATGTAAATGTAAACAAACACTGTATAGCCTCAAAACATGGTTACAACTACAGTTTTCTATCATTGATGGGCAGAATTTGAGAGTGGTTACATTTCTCCAGCCACCCCATCCCTCAGCTTTTTACCGAAACAGTGGTTGGGAGGACTCTGTTATTGTTTCAACTGCGGATGGCCCCTTTAAGCTTCAGATAACATACTTGTTTTTGTCCTCTGAGGTGTATATAGACAGATGGCCATGACAGGTGATGCTATGGGCTGAAATCACACACCATTTCCCTGTGTCTCACCTCTCACTGTCTGACAACCTGAGAAATATAACACCCCATCAGATCTAACAAGTATCATTATGTGATTCATAACCATCAGTACCACCGGATTTAATGACTATCACTTTATGATTCATAAACATCAGTACCACCAGATTTAAAGACTATCATTATATGATTCATAACCATCAGTACCACCGGATTTAATGACTATCATTTTATGATTCATATCAATCAGTACCACCGGATTTAAAGACTATCATTTTATGATTCATAACCATCAGTACCACCGGATTTAAAGACTATCATTATATGATTCATATCCATCAGAATAGGTGAGCTATACTTGATACATACACGTATATATGGCTCTTCTGCTTTGTTAGTGTTGTGCCAGTAAATTGGTCTGGCCATCCAACAAAATGTCCAAATACATTATAATGTATGCAGTTCTCACTCATTCCTGCTTATTCACATGGGGTGAAGCCGTATGAATTAAGGATCCTGGGATAGCTCGTCGTGGTGAGTCACCCAGATAAAGGGGGCACTGAATACCAATGCACTAGAACACACAGTAGTACGCTACTATTTGTTTATTAGTTACCTGCACAATATTAGGCCTAGGCCTACTGTTTCACTTCTACTAACTCCACAAACCGGCATGTCAAAAAGAAGGCAGTCATAGCCAGTTAGATAAGATATAATTCTCCTACGATTGACACAAACGGTAAAAGTAAGCAATAACTGCATCACAAGATAACCAACGGTGTAGAACAGCTGGAAATCAAAGGAGGCAAAGCAATATATTTTTCTCTAGTGTGACGAACTAACAGTAGTCAGGTCGATGTCTCACCAGAACTGTGTTAACGTCAGTGGACAGGCAGTGTGTGTGCCTGCCTGTCTGCCTCCACAGCCATCGACACAGAAAGCAAGCGCACTGTTCTGAACCATCAGCGCTGTCTGTGTGTGCCGTCTGTCCACGGCTCTAAAACGACTGGCTAAAACCAATGCACATGCCATTGACGTCGAGTATGTATGCACTGTCCATGGTGCTGAAATAAGCGCGCAGGCGTATTGATGTAAAGTTCGAGGTCGTGGGATTGCCTGCAGCCTGCATTCATAAACTGCCAGCAGTAGGCTGGCTACATTAGAACAGGATACAACTTTAGTAATTGAACTACTAACCAGCCGGAGGGCGGGGCCATGTGTGGGAAGCAAGTGGGTGGCTGTAATCGCAGTATTACAGAATGGGCCTTGGTAAACCTATTATGACAGTGGTAGCCTAGGTTGTTGTCATTACATTTCATTGTGTTGACATTGTATCAATAGCCAAGTGCATGTTAATTAAACTTAGCGCAGTGCATTTTACACAAATCAAAATGACATCGTCATCCACAAAAGCAAAAACAACACCAGACGCGTAGGTGACACAAAAACCAAACCCTAATCTTCTGACTTTTGAATACTGTGAAGAAGCGCTCTCAAACAGTTGTGTTTTTATGGAGCGCGCCGAGCCTAGGCGTGGGGCACAGCGGGCTATTACTGGTACTTCCTCCACTATTATAGCGGGGAAGAGCTATGATGAATCATGCCTATCTGACGCTGTTTTCGCAAAACCCATCATTCAATCCAAGCAGAAGTCTATAGCCCCAAGTCGCCAATCAAACCAGGTGACGCAATTTCATATTCAGCCTACATAAATAGCCTCCAATAGCCTAAACAAACATAACAGACATCCAGAAATTACGTTTAATCACGTCTGAATCTCTCAATTTCTTAACATTTGTAATGTATAAGTAAATTCACGTTATAAATGTTTATAACACTATACTAGTTTTGCCTGCTACAATGCACAGAAATGCAAAACATTATGGTGAATATTAAAATAATTTAGTATATGTGGCTATATTCTTAGTTGCTATTCTGGCAAACACAGTTTGAAGTAAGCAGTAGAATATGGCTAATGATCCCCGTTGATATATTGCATTGATTTACGCACTACGCTATTGCCTTGGCTGAGATTTCTAAACGTCTGTGCATGTAGACCTGTTACCTGCCTCTGTGAGTGACTCAGTTCATTTTTCTCCCTTACCGTATCTGCTTGACATCCCCATCTGATAGCACACCGTCATCACACATAGCACGCTCCACAGTTGCTGAGATCCCATGACAGAGCTGTTCAGCGGTGCCGTTTTAAACCCTCATGATCCCTGTCAACTATCGGAGGGTCTTTCTAATGCCGCACATCCACCCGGACTCCAAAGGAAGGACGTGGATTTTCGGCAGCAGAAGTGCACCAACTGTGCGTGCGACAGCAAGTGTTGAGGAGAGAAATGTGTAAAACCCGGGATGCGCGCGGCTTCGGATCAGGAGCGGAAGGGTTTAGTCTTTCTGCATGGCTGGTTTACCTTGGGGAGACTCACCATTGCGTCATAGGCCACTGGGCGAAATTAACAAAGTAATTCTTACCATGTATTCCTCAGTTCCCCTGTAATTATACTGAACAAAAATATAAACTCAACATGTAAAGTGTTGGTCCCATATTTCATGAGCTGAAATAAAAGATCCCAGAAATGTTCCATAAGCACCAAAAGCTTATTTAGCTCAAATTTTGTGCACAAATTTGTTTACATCCCTGTTAGTGAGCATTTCTCGTTTGCCAAGATAATCCATCCACCTGACAGGTGTGGCATATCAAGAAGCTGATTAAACAGCATGATCATTACACAGGTGCACTTTGTGCTGGGGACAATAAAAGGCAACTCTAAAATGTGCCGTTCTTTTCACACAACACAATGCCATAGATGTCTCAAGTTGAGGGAATGTACAATTGGCATGCTGACTGAAGGAATGTCCAACAGAGCTGTTGCCAGATAATTTAATGTTAATTTCTCTACCATAAGCCACCTCCAACGCCATTTTAGAGAATTTGGCAGTACTTCCAACCGGCCTCACAACCGCAGACCTCATGTAACCACGCCAGCCCAGGACTTCCACATTCAGCTTCTTCACCTGCGGGATCGTCTGAGACCAGCCACCCAGACAGCTGATGAAACTGAGGAGTATTTCTGTCAGTAATAAACCCCTTTTGTGGGGAAAAACTCATTCTGATTAGCTGGGCCTGGCTCCCAAGTGGGTGGGCCTAGTCATGTGAAACCCATAGATTAGTGCCTAATTAATATTTAAATTAATATTAATATTTCAATTAACTGATTTCCTTATATGAACTGTAACTCAGTACAATCGTTGAAATTGTTTGTTGCGTTTATATTTTTGTTCAGTATATTTGTCAACATTGCATGTTTCACCACTAGGTACTATGGAGTGTGGTTCAAACACTTATTTGAATTGGAGATCCAGTGCAACATAAGAGGCAGTGGTTAGAGAAGCAGACCTTAAACAGAGGGTTGCCGGTTCGAATCCCAACTCAAGACGGGAAAAGTGCGGAAAATCATAATCTGCCGTTGTGCCCTTCAGCAAGGCACTTAACCCCATATAATTGGTCCAGGGGCGCTGCACTGCAGCTGACCCATTGCGTCCAGCCTATGTGTGTGTGTGTGTGTGTCTGGGGGGGGTTGGGTTGTGAGCATAAAGACAAATGTATGCTCTATGTAAATTAATGGACATTAAAGTAGATCTTAACTTATCCTATGACCTCTACGAATTAGTCAGTTCCGTATTAGAATTAGTCAGCAAAAACAAGGGAAGGAGAAGGGAAGTGTAGATTAAAGATTTATTATTTTATAAACCATTTCAGTTCATCAGAAACATCATTTGAAGGAACTTTCCTTGCCTCTGAATGTGTGCAATAAGTTCTGCTGTAGCACTGTGTGCCATGTGAGTATACAAAGAATACAGGGTATAGAGAGAACCAGAGGAGGACATCTGTCTGTCCTTCTGTCTGTCCGTCTGTCCACGTTGTGTCCTTGTGCCCAGGCTAGTCCACAGTCACCATGTCTCTCACAGTGGGGAAGAGCTCAAAGAAGCCCTGGTAAAAACAGACGAAGACATCAGAGAAAGAAGCCCTGGTATAAACAGACAAAGAAGCCCAGGTAAAAACAGACGGAAGACATCAGACAAAGAAGCCCTGGTAAGAACAGACGGAAGACATCAGACAAAGAAGCCCTGGTAAGAACAGACGGAAGACATCAGACAAAGAAGCCCTGGTAAGAACAGACGGAAGACATCAGACAAAGAAGCCCTGGTAAGAACAGACGGAAGACATCAGACAAAGAAGCCCTGGTAAGAACAGACGGAAGACATATCAGATCATCATCATACACCAACATAGTGTGAGACACAGACCATGGTTCACTACATCTGTGGTCAGATTACAACCCCAACGCAATGAGACCCATAGAATGTACTGACTGTCTGATACCACTTTCACACTATCGTGCTGTTCCCAACCGCACTGTGCTGGCTCAGATATTTCCCTTCCACATTGTCCAGCAACTACAGTAGAGGCGTACTGAGGCCAGGCAGAACAGCTTGGCTCAGTTTGGCTCATAGTGAAACAGCAGTGTGAAAAGGGTATCAGTGTGATGGAGTGGGTCAGGTTTGGGGTCATTCCAAAACATTCAAGATAATTGGAATTTGACTGTACTTCCTGAATTGAAATGGAATTGACCCCAACCCTGGAGTGGGTTAGTACCAGGTCCAGTACCTTGAATAGGGTGGTAGACTGGAGCACTCCTGTGGTGCAGCACATCTCCCTGATGGAGTGCATGGCCAGCTGGGGGGCACCGATGTCCAGCACGGGGATCCCCAGGCGGGAAGACAGGATGGGGCCGATGGTGGTCCCACAGGGGCTGTCGTTACGCACCATCACATCCTGGGGCCACAGAGACAGGGTCAGGAGGGTAGGGAATTAACACATGCTTACTAGGTACAGTTGAAGCATCTGTGGAAAAAAATACCCTTTCAAATGTATTGTTGCATTCAGATTTATTGGTGTCCTTCGGAAACATTAGCGTGTGCCATGGATGACCATTAATCGCACCGGTATAAATTAGAGGTCAGCTGTGTGGGGAAACTCAAGGTGTCAGAACTGGAACTGTTGTTCCCGCATCTCTGCATTTGAAATCTGGCTTCACACCAGTCCATTCCCTCTGAGTCCATAGTGGGGGTGAAGGAGTGCGTACTTCAGGGAGAGAAATGGACCAGAGCCGTCGTTCTGTCGTTTCTTCAGGCACTGAGTGTCTAAAGCCTCTGAGGTGAATAATGTGTCCTTGTGGGAGCTGAATACTCCTTTATCATCTACTCTTAAAGAGGCACAAGCTCTCTTTTCCATCTCCCTGGTCTCTCCCATAAGCTTGGTTTAATCACCACTACACTAAGGCTTGGTTTAATCACCACTACACTAAGGCTTGGTTTAATCACCACTACACTAAGGCTTGGTTTAATCACCACTACACTAAGGCTTGGTTTAATCTCCACTACACTAAGGCTTGGTTTAATCTCCACTACACTAAGGCTTGGTTTAATCTCCACTACACTAAGGCTTGGTTTAATCACCACTACACTAAGGCTTGGTTTAATCTCCACTACACTAAGGCTTGGTTTAATCACCACTACACTAAGGCTTGGTTTAAATCACCACTACCACTGCACTTTCTAAGGTTTGGTTTAAATCACCACTACCACTGCACTTTCTAAGGCTTGGTTTGAATCACCACTACCACTGCACTTTATAAGGCTTGGTTTAAATCACCACTACCACAAGTTGGTTTACACTACATCTAAGGCTTGGTTTAAATCACCACTACCACTGCACTTTCTAAGGCTTGGTTAAATCACCACTACCACTGCACTTTCTAAGGCTTGGTTTAAATCACCACTACCACTGCACTTTCTAAGGCTTGGTTTAAATCACCACTACCACTTTCTAAGGCTTGGTTTAAATCACCACTACACTTTCTAAGGCTTGGTTTAAATCACCACTACCACTGCACTTTCTAAGGCTTGGTTTAAATCACCACTACACTTTCTAAGGCTTGGTTTAAATCAGCACTACACCACTGCACTTTCTAAGGCTTGGTTTAAATCACCACTACACTTTCTAAGGCTTGGTTTAAATCAGCACTACACCACTGCACTTTCTAAGGCTTGGTTTAAATCACCACTACACTTTCTAAGGCTTGGTTTAAATCAGCACTACACCACTGCACTTTCTAAGCAGTCTTCACCTCAGCACTGCGTTGCTAGGAGATGTGCTCATTGCAGAGTGGATTTAAGACGGACAAAGAAACCAGATCACAAACCCACGTAGTCCACCACCAAAACACACAGAGAAACAAGTATGAACCAATCACACACACACACTCGCCAATTACCTGAAGAGGCACGCCAACACGACTGGCGATTTCTCTCAAGATGGAGGCTGTCACAGCTGTCGTGGCGTAGCGCTGGTTACTGTTGAATTTAATTACAGGACCCTGAGAGAGAGAGAGAGAGAGAGAGAGAGGAGAGAGAGAGAGAGAGTGGGAGGACATTCAGACAATCACCCTATGACTTCAGATATTTGCATAGAAAACATACATAAATAATTTATAGCATGTCTGCCACAAACATTACACAGGACCATCATGACCATTTGACCAAAATCTAAATCTGATTGTAGACATGTTTTGTAGAAGATTCCAACAATATCTCCACCAGTTCTAATGGGTGTTTTCAGTGTGTTGCTGAGCGGGTTGATTAGAGCTCTGTACCTTGTGGAAGGCTGGTCTGTGGTTTTCATCATGCTTCTCTCTAGGTTGAAAATGAAAGTCGATTAAAACCATAAACACAGCAAACATCTTTCAAACTGTCTTCTGGTCCCAGCCGGCACAAAAACAGTACAACAGCAGTCAATGATATATCTAATATGATATAAATATGATAAATGAATGACACTATTATTCCCCAGGCATACTGTACACTGACTGGTAGTTGGGGTGTTGTTCTAGAACCTGACTGGTAGTTGGGATGTTGTTCTAGAACCTGACTGGTAGTTGGGATGTTGTTCTAGAACCTGACTGGTAGTTGGGATGTTGTTCTAGAACCTGACTGGTAGTTGGGATGTTGTTCTAGAACCTGACTGGTAGTTGGGATGTTGTTCTAGAACCTGACTGGTTGAGACAGTGTGAATGTTAGTATGGCATTTCTATGGGGAGTAACAGCACATTGACTGGTAGTTGGAGTGTTACTGTAGAGACAGTGTGAATGTTAGTATGGCATTTCTATGGGGAGTAACAGCACATTGACTGGTAGTTGGGGTGTTACTAGAGACAGTGTGAATGTTAGTATGGCATTTCTATGAGGAGTAACAGCACATTGACTGGTAGTTGGAGTGTTACTATAGAGACGGAGTGATTGACAGGTTACTGTATGGTACTGACTGGTAGTTTGGGTGCAGGGCGTGGGCCATGTCGGCGCTGATCATGAAGGAGCGTGGCACCGCCTGCTGGAAGGCTGTGAGGTTGGTGGGGGAGGAGGACAGACGACTCAGGATCAGCTCTGTCAGGTTGGACGCCGCCCCCTGGGCGCTCTCTGACCCCACCTACAGGCCACAGGGGGAAGTGTTAAGTGTTAGCACACAGGACCGGTTAGATCAGGGCTCTCCAAACCTGTTCCTGGAGAGCTAAACCTCTGTAGGTTTACCTCTCCAACATGGGTTCTGAGTATAAACCTACAGGATGGTATTTCCAGGAACGGGTTGGAGTATAAACCTACAGGACGGTATCTCTCCAGGAACAGGGTTGGAGTATAAACCTACAGGATGGTATCTCTCCAGGAACAGGGTTGGAGTATAAACCTACAGGATGGTATCTCTCCAGGAACAGGGTTGGAGTATAAACCTACAGTACGGTATCTCTCCGGGAACAGGGTTGGAGAGCCCTGGGTTAGATATACAGAGGGTCATGGCCCATATTGACAAAACATCTCGAGTAGGAGTGCTGATCTAGGATCAGTTGTACCTTTTAAATTATAATGAATCAGAGGGAGGACCTGATCCTAGATCAGCCCTCCTTATCTGAGATGCTTTGTGAATATGTGCCCAGGAGTTTTTCCTGACCACCAGAAACCTCTGGGTCCTAGTTCCAGTTCATAACTATAGGCCAGTGATAAGGAGGCCCTAGCTCTACACAGAAGGACTTTAGCCAACACAGGACTGGGGGACCGACCTCTTCATTGTCAAACAGAGTCACCATCCTGATGTTGGGGTCTTTGGCCAAAGAGTCTCCAGAGCTGCAGGAGTCCATCAGAGCCTAGTGGACAGAGGAGAAGAGGGTAAAGGTTAGGAGAATGAATGGTAAGGTTAAAGAGGAAGTACAGGTAAGGAGAATGAAGGTTAAGGTTAAAGAGGAAGTAGAGGTTAGGATTATGAAGGTTAAGGTTAAAGAGGAAGTAGAGGTTAGGAGTATGAAGGTTAAGGTTAAAGAGGAAGTACAGGTTAGGAGAATGAAGGTTAAGGTTAAAGAGGAAGTACAAGTTAGGAGAATGAAGGTTAAAGAGGAAGTACAGGTTAGGAGAATGAAGGTTAAGTTTAACGAGGAAGTAGAGGTTAGGAGAATGAATTGTAAGATTAACGAGGAACTGATGTTAGGAGAATTAATGGTAAGGTTAAAGAGGAAGTAGAGGTTAGGAGAATGAAGGTTAAGGTTAAAGCGGAAGTAGAGGTTAGGAGAATGAAGGTTAAGGTTAAAGAGAAAGTAGAGGTTAGGAGAATGAAGGTTAAGGTTAAAGAGGAAGGTCACATTATGGTGGTAGTCATGTTCTGATTCCTCTCGCCCCTCTCAAACACGCTGGAGGAAAAGATGTGAGGTTCCTACTCTCAGATCTTTATGTACTTTGAGAAGGAGACCTGTTGTTGAGGTGGCTGGTGTTAGTGTCTGGAGGTGGAGTATTGAGTTGGAGGAGAGGAGAGGAGACGCACCTGCAGGGCACAGTAGCAGCTGTGGAGGTTGTCCAGACGGGGGGAGTAGATGAACTCTTCAAACACACCTCCAATTGCCTATGCAGCAGACATACACACGTGTAAGTAATCTGTAAAATATGTCATTAACAACAGAGGGGGTGGAGGTGTTGAGGAGAGGAGACTCACCCCTGGCTGAGTGTCAGCCAGACACAGCTCAAAGTCCAGCAGGGCCTCAGGCTGAACGCCCAGCTCTGAACACAGCACCTTGACCAGGGCCGGGTGGTGTTTCTCTGCCTGGAGGAGTGAGAGAGAGGGGAGAGATGGAGAAACGTCCTAAAGGCCTACTGAAGTTGAGTAAGGCAAGAGATTGTGTTTGTGCATTACTGTGTGTGTATGTGTGTGTGTGTGTAGTACACTGGACTCTGTATCTAGTACTGTAGAGTGTACAGTGAGAGATATGGATAGAGAGTCTTACAACAGTGGTGGCATTGCAGGCATCCCCAGTGGAACAGCAGCCAGTCTCCAACTCCTCCTGCACAGCAGTGGCTAGGATGGGCACTCTGTCTCACACACACACACAGAGTTACTAAACACTCATTGTTCTGTCAAATTCATGTTTGTTCTCCTGGTCCCCTTGAGGGGTGTATCTCAATAGTCTCAAGTGGCCTCCGCTCCTGGTCACCTCCCCTTCAACTGCACTGATGTGAACGATCAGAACAGGTGAAAGCGAATTCCTGCCATACTGCCTTCACCTGTCCTATGTCGTCAGATCAGTGCAGATGTAGGAGAGGCGGCAAGGAGAGGAAGCCGGTTAAGACTTTTGAGATGCAATCCGGGACTCACAGGTGGTTCTCCTTGTTGGGGCCGAAGGAGTCGTTGATGTCTCTCTGGAGGTGGATGGCCAGGTGGGGGATCCTCATGATCGGCCGGGGCACGTGCACCAGACGATGGACCAGCTTATCTCCAGTCTGCACCACAATAACACAACAACTCCCACGTAAGGTCCTCTCACAAACACACTTCCATTCTCCAGGCACACTTCAACACATAGTTCATGCAAGTTCATAAACCTAAGAATGGGCCAACCTTAATGTTTCACTTGTGAATGAAGAGTTAGATGGGTAGGGTTACATTGCCATACCTTGACCATAACACGACCGGCGATGGTCAGATCACGGTCGAACCAGGTGTTCCAGATTCCTCCCCCGTAGCACTCCACCCCGACCTGCAGACAGCCCTGTTTGGTCTTCTTGGACCGTGGCTTAATCTGAACAACCACACAGAGAGAGAAGGGTGTCAAGTTAGCGACCAAATCCATGTATGACCTACTATCCCCAGTGGTTGGCGGTGTTAGCCCTGGGTCGTGTTCAGTAGGGTACACCGTAGCAAATCGTTTTGCAACAGAAAATTAAAATATTTGTTCTTAAAAATGGACAAGTTCAGACATTACCTCACTGTTTCAAAACGTTTTGTCCCTAATGAACATGACCCAGTTCTTTGCCCAGTGCATCCCCAGTGTAGAGTTCCATCCTTACCCTCAGGCAGGGGCTGTCTGTGTGTGCTCCAATCATAGTGAAGCCATTGCCTGGCTGGAAATGTCCGCCCACAGCAAATGCGATGATGGAGGAGTAGTTACGGGTAACAAAGTACTGTTGAGAGAAGAGGAGAGGAGTAGTTAGTTCTCAATCAAGCACAGTTTGAAAGAAAAATATTATTTGAACCTAGGTCTGATCCCTATACGATGAAGCCCTATAAAGCTGTGTAGATCAGGGTGGGACTGGAACCTCTGTGTACTGACTGACCTTACTGGCAGGATTGATGTTCCACTGCTCAGTCTCCCTCAGCTCAGTAAAGCCAGCCCTCAGCAGACGAGACTTACACTCCTCAACCACTGCTCACAAATAGGAGAGAGTGAAAAGAAAAGAGCAGGACATTGACTTCAAGCCACCTCGTTCCTTTTATGAGTTACAACCTGGGAAACCAGGGGACATATCAATTCATTGACTGATAACAGGGTGGCTTTGAGAGATCTCAGGAGTGATCTAGGCCAAGGTTAGTGTGAATGGACTGTACATGGATCAGAGTGCAAAGGTAGGCTGCACAACAAAACAGACATCAGTACAGGGTCAGAAAGAGGCCCTCCGCCTGCAAGATATCTATCTTATCTCAAGATCAAGGGCCATGGAAGGTGATCAGTCAGTCTCCCAATACTCCATGCGCTTGATCACAAATTTATTTAGTATTGACACAGGATTTACAGTATTTCTCTTTGTCCCTATCTTGTGTCATGACGTGATATGACTTGTTTCTGACCGTGGTATGGAGACACTCCTTTGTTCACGAACTGGAGGAACTCCTTGGCAGCAGTCTGCACAGCTTCCTTTGAGCCTTTCATGATCAGTGACTAGGGAAAGTAGAAGGATAACGTTACATGCCATGAACGACACCGCGTTGCACTCAAAGGCGAAACCGAAAGAGAGATTACTGAGCAGCAAGCAAAATACAATTCAGTAAGAGTCAGAGTTATAACATTGGAATAGCTGTATGATTAGTCCAAAAACAGAAGCCACGTTTAGCTGACTGGTGAATAGACAGTAAACTAATCGTTGCTAGCTAGCCAGCCGACACAGACATTGTCAAGCAAAACCGAATAGATAGCTAACCTTATGCAGTAGACACGGCAAACGCAGCCTCCAAAAGTCAAACCAGACTGCTCTGCGCTAGCTGCAATTACTAATATGCCAACAGCAAAATCATAATTTATGGCGCTTACCTGCATAAATGTTTAACAGGACTTTTAAACTCTGGACCCGGTGTAAAGCACACGAACACCTCTGACAGATTTAGTAAAAACCACCGATGTAGAATCTAACAATGGGTATTTTGAAGGGAGGGGAACGTGGTATTGCCCTCTGCTGGCCAGGAGGTAAAACAACATTGTTGCCTTGTATGTTTCGTGGCCAGAGATTGTTGAGGAAACAACCTGAAATGCTCTGAAATAGGCTAACCAGTCTTGGTAAACCTATTCAACTTCTTTAACAAGATCACATATATTAGGATAAAACAATTTTATAAACGTATTCTTGACCAATCCTTCGTTACCCAGCATCAATCTCCCCAGTTCATGCTGCAGTGCAGATTGATCAGTTCCATCAGTATACTAGCTGCCCACCCAGCTACCCAGCATCCTTGGTCAAGTGCTGGCTCAGCTGCCTGCTGCATCTTCTTGATGAAAGGCCATCACTGCTAACAGGTCAACATCCACTGTCAACCTCCAGGGAAAGCTTTCCCAACCCTCCTTATTTGATTGTGCAATAACAGGTCTACTACAACAACAAGCCAGCAAGCAGATTCAGGCCGGTAAACTAGAAAATTGACATTTGAATGGCTGAACCACCCTTAACATAACAGTCTGGTATGATAAAAACTTCAATAGAAGTCACCCAGGCTTCCTCCCCAGCCCTCTCCCTCTCCAGTCCTCAGAGATGGAGCCGAGTAATGGTGGGTGCACAGATAAGGCTAAAGTAACGGAGCACAGGTTAGAAAAGATCATCCATTTTATTATGAGATACTGGAAGGTGTCATAACATGCACATTTTTCTGCTCCTTATTGGTTTTGTTGAATGTCACCAAAAGCAACGAGCTATTAGGATGCACAGTCCATAAAATGTGCATCAACAGGCTTATACATCATCGTTCAGCTTCAGACGGTTACATCCTGGAGGGACTCAAGACCAATGGCCACCACTAAAGTATGTGGCTGAAATCGGCCAAAAGGAGCACATCAACTCGCCACGCACCCGATTGGACTGAGGTACCACATTCACCATGGTGTGATTGGGAAGATTTCCACCTTTTAATGGGTGATTGTAGGCTAATCGGGATGCGCCACAAGTCTAGGTTAGCTTTCACACCGACCGTATTTGGTCTGTTTTGAAGTTCTGAGAGGTGAGAACAAATGGGGGGGGGGCCTCCATAACCTTAGATGGCTCCATAACCTTAGAAACGATACCCTGTGGCTTCTCATGAGAGGAAGGGTGCATTATTTTCAGAAGTGAGACTGTACAGTCGTGGTCAAAAGTTTTGAGAATGACACAAGTATTGGTCTTCACAAAGTTCGCTGCTTCAGTGTTATGAAATATTTTTGTCAGATGTTACTATGGTATACTGAAGTATAATTACAAGCATTCCATAAGTGTCAAAGGCTTTTATTGACAATTACATTAAGTTTATGCAAAGTCAATATTTGCAGTGTTGACCCTTCTTTTTCAAGACCTCTGCAATCCGCCCTGGCATGCTGTCAATTAACTTCTGGCCCACATCCTGACTGATGGCAGCCCATTCTTGCATAATCAATGCTTGGAGTTTGTCAGAATTTGTGGGGTTTTGTTTGTCCACCCGCCTCTTGAGGATCGACCACAAGTTCTCAATGGGATTAAGGTCTGGGGAGTTTCCTGGCCATGGACCCAAAATGTCCATGTTTTGTTCCCCGTGCCACTTAGTTATTACTTTTTCCTTATGGCAAGGTGCTCCATCATGCTGGAAAAGGCATTGGTCGTCACCAAACTGTTCTTGGATGGTTGGGAGAAGTTGCTCTCTGAGGATGTGTTGGTACCATTCTTTATTCATGGCTGTGTTCTTAGGAAAAATTGTGAGTGAGCCCACTCCCTTGGCTGAGAAGCAACCCCACACATGAATGGTCTCAGGATCAGGGGCGGCCTGTTCAATAGGGCGATATGGGCGACGCACTGCCAAACGGGAAAAGGAAGGGATTTTTTTTCTAATCAATTATATCACGGCAACAGTAGTTATCAGTGTTGTAATCTATACGTCTGATCTGCCACAGTGCCACACTGCCACTAAATGTCGAATCAGGCTAAAGTCGTGCTTCAAATGGCTCCCCCCCCTTTTGGGGCGATTTCAGTCAGGTTGAAAATCGCCCAGAAGTCTGTCATAGACTCCCATGTAAAATCTATTTTTTTCAAATTTCAGAGCCTTCAATACAATCTCAATGGGTGTCTGTGGGCTTGCACTTACGCGCTTTCGTCATACGTTACGTAACCATGAACGTAACTGAGAAAAGAGCGGATTGTTTGAAAGAAGTTCCTTTTTGTCGGCGAACAAATGAAGATAAATTGGCAATGAAACAATTAGGACCTCCCAGACCAAATTTAATAATTCAACAGGTTTCTACTAAAGGCGGAAAGTCCTACACCCGAGGATTTTCCAAAAATTGGTACGAACGAAAAAAGACATTGCCACTCACTCAACTGGATGAGGGATACAGGCTAGCTGTCCGCCGCCACAACGATGAGGTTAGTGTTGATAATCACAAGTTTACTGGAGAACTGAGACCAAGTAGAGACTTTGGACAGGGTGGATATGGTATAATAAAGGCAGTTTATTCAGAGGTAAAGATATCTGGAATCGCGTGCACGGACCCGTTCGTCAAACTCTTAGGGAGCTATAAATTAAGCACCATTACTTACCATATCAGATAAGAGAAATTGCTGCAGCTACATATATTTTACATCCTGGCCCTACATAGTTCACTATTTGCATCACTTACCAAAATATTACATGTGGTCATATATGCTTGGAAAGTGGAGATGCCATAGAACGTCAAAAAAGTAAACATTGCTGGAGACACATTGCCGTTTTGGAGAAGACATCGCGTTTGCTAGCGAAGAGATTTGTTGTGGCAAATGAACTTGGGCTGGGAATTGCCAGGAACCTCACGATAAGATATATGCATCAGCATTGCGAGTCTCATGATTCTATACGTATTGCGATTCGATACTGTGATTTTATTGCGCACCATATGTCTGTTGCAGAGGGATCAGAAAGCCATGAGAACGAGTTTTGATCAGTCATGGAAATAAAAGTGCTGAAAACAAATTGGCTCCCAATGTGAAAAGATTGAGAACAAGCTATGAAGGAACAATAATGGTGTTTTGGTGCAGGTACAGCCAACTAGCGCTAAAATATTGCGATATTGTCAATACAGTATATCGTAAAGTATCACTATGTAACTCGATTTCTTTCACCCCAATCCCTCAAATTAACGGTAAATAACTGAATTGTTTGCCCCACATTTAGCTAAGATGATTAGCTAGCCAGCTAAAATGTTTTATTTAGTTAGCAGTCGCATCTACAATAGTTTACTGTCAATAACATGTCTCCAAAAATGACGTGGTGTCTCCAATTGTGTTGACATTTTACAATTGCGATGCGCATCCATGAGTATCCACTTTCTGTAGCTCAGCTGGTAGAGCATGGTGCTTGTAACGCCAAGGTAGTGGGTTCGATCCCCGGGACCACCCATACACAAAAATGTATGCACGCATGACTGTAAGTCGCTTTGGATAAAAGCGTCTGCTAAATGGCATATTATTATTATTATTATCTGAAGAGAGCCCCGAAACATTGTGTGCAGACATTTTATGCAATAAATGAAGTAGGTTGAATCTAGTAGTTCTGATCTTCTGATTGGTCCTGATGAGTTGGGCGAGGTCCCCTCCAGGCTACTGTCACTGTTGCATTGGCTCTGAGTCGGGTTCTCTGTCTTCAAATGTTCAGCCTAAGAGAGGGGATTTTTGTGTGTGTGTGTGTGTGTGTTTAACAGTGATGATGTGTGTGTGTGTGTGTGTGTGTTTAACAGTGATGATGTGTGTGTGTGTGTTTGTGTGTGTGTGTGTCCTCAGAGCAAGAACTCGTGAGTTGGAAGAACTGAGAGGCCTATGGCGTGGGTGTTGTCCTTGGCCACCTGCTGACAAGGCTGTCAAGATAGGACCCTTTTGTCCATTGTTATTGGATAGGAACAGAACTTATAACCAGCTCCTGACCTAAATAGATCTTAGCACAACATTTTACTCAACATATCATATTCCATATTCACTATAACAAATATATTTACTACGACATTAGCAAGAACCGCCACATCCTCAGCCGGCTAATCCAGTGTGTGAAGTTTTGCGGAGTGTTTGAGTTAGCTTTGCGAGGCAAAGATGAAACTGAGGGCTCCACCAACCCTGGTAAGCCAACACTTTTGAGATCAGTCAATAAATGCTTCTGGTATTGACTTATATGCTGCCCCTGTCTTCATGTTGTTGCTGGACATATCTTTTTTAAAATGTGTGTAGGTCACCTAAATCATCAGAAAAATTGCCCCTCCTGAGAATTTTTTCAGGAGCCGCCACTGCTCAGGATGCTTTACTGTTGGCATGACACAGGACTGATGGTAGCGCTCGTCTTGTCTTCTCCGGACAAGGTGTTTTCCGGATGCCCCAAACAATCGGAAAGGGGATTCATCAGAGTAAATGACTTTACCCCAGTCCTCAGCAGTCCAATCCCTGTACCTTTTGCAGAATATCAGTACGTCCCTGATGTTTTTCCTGGAGAGAAGTGGCTTCTTTGCTGCCCTTCTTGACACCAGGCCATCCTCCAAATTTCATCCCCTCACTGTGCGTGCAGATGCACTCACACCTGCCTGCTGCCATTCCTGAGCAAGCTCTGCACTGGTGGTGCCCCGATCCCGCAGCTGAATCAACTTTAGGAGACGGTCCTGGCGCTTGCTGGACTTTCTTGGGCGCCCTGACGCCTTCTTCACAACAATTGAACCTCTCTCCTTGAAGTTCTTGATGATCCGATAAATGGTTGATTTAGGTGTAATCTTACTAGCAGCAATATCCTTGCCTGTGAAGACCTTTTTGTGCAAAGCAATGATGACGGCACGTGTTTCCTTGCAGGTAACCATGGTTAACAGAGGAAGAACAATGATTTCAAGCACCACCCTCCTTTTAAAGCTTCCAGTCTGTTATTCTAACTCAATCAGCATGACAGAGTGAT